TGACGATTATGATGATGATGATTTAATGATGATTTGATCTTAATAATGATTTACTTACCTTCAAATATGCATCTTCAGCTTCTTTGAACATTTTAAGATGATTATAAGTTCGTCCAACATTAATGTGCGCTCCAATATCGTCACCCTGTACTTGTACAGCCATGTTGAAAAAATTTAACGCTTCCTTAAATCGCCCTTGGCTTTCCAACGCATGGCCCACGTTGTTAAATAGTTTGGCATTTCTATCGTTCACTTTCAAACCCGACATAAATATCGAATATTCGTCTAGCCAGTCGTAATTTCTGACAAATGTTTTCGTCGTATGCGCAGCCAAAAGCGTCACCAGTAAAACTAGCATCAATTTTTTGCACCTGTAAGATAATATTTGTATGAGATTTTCTTCGACTCGCGCAAGTGAATAAAATATAAGTATAAAGTTGAATCATGTCCACTGACGACACAACTTACTTCTTGTCTGCTAAAATGCTCCATCCGTATCCAATAAGCATGCAAAATCCCATGGAAGGTGCATACAACACTCTTTCAGCAATTACAAATCCGACCGGGAAGAAAAGATTCGACGCAGGTAAAAAAGGGAGTATCATCATAGCCAAACTCTGCAGGCATTAATTAGAAAACATCACGTATTCGTTAAGTGTTAGTATTGTTAATTGCAGAATCCACACAAATAAATCTCTAAAACATGCATATTACTATATTCTTCTTATAACTGGCAATCATATACTATCGCTTACATATCCTCTACTACATTATATGACCTAATTCCACAATGATCTCTACTGACCATAATGAGTATGACCGACGTCTGTCTGCTACGTGTTACAACAGCTGTCACAAGCAATCCTAGTACGGTTCCATGAGTAGCTAGGGTCGCAAGGTTGCGGACATCAGTGAAGCTTTCTACTAACGGTATCGTTCCCATTGTCCAATCACAGCATAAATCACTTGGAAGAAATAGCAGTCTTAGGTTCACTGCAGCGAGATAATTATATGTAAGCTGTCTGGTTGGCGTTGCAGCAACTGATGCAGGATTGTCGAATCTAAGAGATACACATATTGTTATTTTCGTCTTTAAATACACAATTTAAAAATTTAAGAATATTGCAAGTCATGAGTTGCAATCGTACCTGGTAAATACAGGTAACTTTGAGCCCATTATATGTAACCGTAGGATAAGCAGGCTAAATGTAACAAGTGTAAGGGCGGTCAAACGTTTTGTACCCTCGCCTGACCATGCAGGTGAAATTTTATTACCACCAAAAGCTGACTTTAATGCTAAGAAAATATCCCTTGCTCTAACCTATGAATATGGAATTATGTATATGAGTATAATTTTATCTGAGAGAAGATGTATTACAAATTTATAACAGATTGGGAATTTACCTTCTGTACAACAAAAATTTCATATAGTACACAAACTGCAGTGGCTGTAATTCCTTGCTCCTTGCACAACATTGCGGTAAATACAAAAAACATAGACAATATCAAGTATTTCCACCCTGTGAATACAGAACATACGTGAATCGATGCTTAATGTTTTCACAGTGAGTCACTCACATCTGTATTAAAATTATTACCTGTAGATCTTTTGCTTCTGCAACATTTAGTATATGTAATTAAAGCTGCCAGGTAAAACAATGAGGACAAAGTTTCTGCCCTACCGACTACACCTGTGACCTAAGACATAATTAAAGTTATAACACAACATATTAATATCAATTGTGAATGCTGCATAAATAATTAAAATATCTCTGTGTATATATTTTGTAATTATTACATACTGCTTCTGTATGTATAGGATGTACAGCAAAGAATAATGATGACACAAAACTCGCTGCATCTGGTAGAAACATCAAACAGATCCTGCAATGGAGCAATTTTTTGACAAAAATTTTAAATTTCACAGATTAAAGAAATATAACTTTCTACAAAATTTTATTCCCCATGCTTTTGATTTTTTCATGATGTTACGAAATAAAAGTGCAAAACAGATATAAACGCACCTGAAATATAATAGACATACTCCAACATGTAGAATAACATTTAGCAGGTGATATCCCATAGGATCCAGCTGATGAATCAGGTAATTCCATCGGAATGTGAGTACACAAAGAGGTCTATAAGATTTGTGCGATTGTTCCTATTAAAAAAAAAAAAAAAAATAAATAGGAAAATGAAAAAATTCATATATCAATTTGAAGCGAAAGATAGAATATAGAATTTATTTTATATAAATTTTTTAATAAAACTTTAAAATAATAGCTTCAATAAAATTTTTTATGATATTAAAAAAAAGTAATATGTATATATTTTTTTTAATTTTATATATTGTGTGTGTGTGTGTGTGAAAATTCTCTTAATAATGATATATCGCAATTAATTTTTTAATTTATTTCTATTAACAATGTACTGAATTTTTGAGATCATTGATAATCAAATATTGTTATAAATTGACTTATAACAATTTAGTATAGATTATTGTTACAACTATTGATTACAAGTAATATTTCTGATTAAACTATAAATAAAAGTAAATTAATAAGGGTGAATGGCATTAATCAATATGTTTGGCAGAGAAACATTGGCTGTTTTAAAGTATTAAGAACTTAAGTATTCAAGTTCATTAAATAATTAAGTCGCTATAATTTAAGATATCATCGCGAATAAATCTACTCGTCGTAATTATATTTTCATGCATTTAGAATTCTACATTTAGAATAGAATCAATGTACGCTCGATCTTTAGAAAGAAAAAGAAACGTCAGAATGTAACGAAAAATATTTCTTTAACTTTAAATCGATGCAGCATGACGTGACGCGGTTGTGAGAATGCATTCTATCTAAATAAAACAGACGAAATTTGATTTGCTTTCTATTATAAATCGATATAGTTTCAACAATATTAATTATTAATGCTACAAAACAAAAGAAAATCTGTTTTAAGCCTCGCATTTTCGTCAGCAAATGTATATGAGAATCATTTTCGCATATTTCTGGCATCAAAATTTGAATTTCTCCGAATTGGAATTCAAATTATAACTGATGGAATTTCGGCGATATTAATGTCAATCATTGTATTCGCATGAAAAAAAAAAAAGCAAAGATTCTCGCCTGCAAAGTATACAAGAATTTCATTAAACTCGGTACAATCTCAGCAGCATCAATGAATACGAAAAAATATTTACGTGATAATAAAAGTAAATATAATAAAAATAAATAACATTTTTGCACAAATTCTCGTGTTTCCATAATCAAGCGAATTAACGAAAACTATTTGCTCCGGATAATAGTGCAGAAATTTGAATGTTATGGAATCAGTATTAATACTTGTGGAAAATCGATAGAATCTCAACAAGAGTATTATCGATTGCTGTAGACACAAAGGGATGCATCGTTATTCCATCAGCCATCGCGTTTCCATCGTCGAAAAATAAACAGATGTAATTTTCGACGTATCGATAGCATGGAAATCCAAGTCTCTCCCCGAAATCATACCGATCTAAATTCCCGCTGCGTGGGGAACATCGCACGCATGAAGGGACGGTGGACGAGGGAGAGACGGAAGACGGAACGAGAGATCGGATCGGGATGAAATGGACAGGACGCTTGCGGATCAATACGCAGGGGGCCGTCTATAGGGGAAGGGAATGGGAGGGGAGAATCTCGAACGCGCGTCCTCCAGCAGCGGGCGACGATGCCTCCTCTTTCCGTCTTTATCTTTCTCTCCCTCTTACTATATTCTCTCTCTCTCTCTCTCTCTCTCTCTCTCTCCCTCGTTTTTTCTCACACCTTATGCATCGGGGTGCCCCAGAAGTCATTGTAGAAGACATTCTTGAGGGGCGTGTGAGGCCTTAGGTCGCGGTTATCCTTGATCGCCGAGATGTCATCGAAGACGAAGCCGCAGCCGAGGCTGTTGAGGTACACGGCGAGCGCGGTTACCGCCACGATCGCCGCGAGTGCTCCCCGCGCAGGCACTCCCATCACAAATAACACATCGATCGGCCGGCCGTCTCTCGTTTCTTTCGCGCGGTCTCGCCGACCACCGTGATGTTCTACTGTATTCTCTCTCTCTCTCTCTCTCTCTCTCTCTCTCTCTCTCTCTCTCTCTCTCTTTTCCTTCCCCCTTGCTTCTCTTTTCCTTCCTCCGCTTTCGTCCTCGCGTTTTCCCTCACACTCTCTCTCTCTCTCTCTCCTCTCCTTCGCTCTCGATATTGCAACACGGTGTAAGACCCTAACTGTAAGAACCCCACGAGAGACGTACGAATGTCATTTCCACGCACGTCGACGTAGCCGCGTCCGCTTTCAGGCACATCACAATTGATGTCGATTCGCCGCGACCAGGCACCAGCGCGAGTGCCGGCGAGTCGAAGCGCGTCGCGTCGTCGCCGACATGGTCACCGGTGGAGTGACAGATCCAGGGAAGTTGAGATTCTCCCGCAGTTCGCTTGCTAGCCCTACGCTCGAGCTTTTTCACCGTGATCGAACGCGCGAGACTGACGAGCGAGGACGGGACGAGGAAACGTGGTGAAAATAGAAAGAGAGGGCACGATGAAAACGCGAGCGTACGCACGCACCGTGCACCGCGATCGAGCTGTCAAACGACGGAGTTGCGTTGCGCACAATCGTGTCGACAGCGACGCCGGCGTCATCGTCGCGCGATGCGCCGCTCCGGCAGAATGGACGGCGCGAAGTGAGATTCGAAAATACGGAGATCGTAATTGTCATCGTGGGTAGAATAGGACAGTTGAAATTCTAGGTACTAAAAGTAATCGTTAAGAAAAGAGATCGACAGATGAAGGATAACAAGACGAATGACCGTCCATTTTGCTTTCGATATTTTGCACCTTCCATATGCAATGTGGAACAGATATATGTTGGAGTTCTCGGGAGCGAGCAAAAGGGAAGAGTAGAAGGTGCAAGAGAAATGAGCGGACTTGGTAACGACGATTTTACTTACAGAGCATTCAGAGGAAATACGATCGGATTTTGCAGATGGCGCTAACAAATGTCAGTGAACGTACTGTTCCGTTGTTTATTGACGGTTTATTTATCACAATAGCACAGTTATTTCGTTGACCTTCATTACCTAGATCTTTTTTGCAAACTGCAATAAGTGTTTCTGTACATGCGATTGCGAGTGCTATCTGTGACAATGACGTGCGCAACTTCATATTGTTGAGCATTCTGGTGTAGGTTTCATGACTTTGAAGTGGTCTGTTCTTTTCAGCTGCACTATGGAACTGGTGCAATAAGTTAAAGTGAGAAAAAATATAGTTGTCTCATTCTAACTTATTATACTAGTTCGCAGTGCAGCTGAAAAGAACAGACCACAGGTGTCTCGTTCCAAATTGGTACGAGCATAGGCAGACTCGCGTATTCTTTTTTCTCTCTTTTTTAGGGAAGCGACAAATAGTGCGCTTGACGATCGTCCAGTGTTTGTGACTACTGAGGACTACGGAGGTGGGGTTTCTACCACTCGAAGAGTACGTTTGGTGTCAAATTCGGATTAATTTAATGCGTAAGTATCAGTGTTTTATCCTTTTTATAAGTGCGTCCTGTGACAAATGTATGATTAATTTCAAGTCTAGATTTTTACAGACTTTATATTGTCGTAAATAATCGACAACTACTCGTGCGATAAACATATAACAATCATTGTTAATCTGTTTGAACAGCATTGATTTGTTGTTGACAGGTTGCCAGGACTTGAGCGTTCACTATGCCACGTAGGAAACATATAAGACATCGCCCCATAGGGGAGGATACTAGAATTGCCGTAAACTTAACTCTGAAGAAACTTTTGGAAACTTCAGATCAAAAGGAATTAGAATTTCCATCTTCGTACACAGCGGAGGAAAGAGCATATATCCATGAATTGGCTAGAGGACTTGGTTTGAAGTCAAAGAGCCGAGGGTATGACTGAATGGAAACATCTTTTTTTACTTGATAAACAGAATTATCACAATGAAATTTTATTTTATAGAAAGGGTATGAATCGGTTCTTGACTGTGTATAAAAGAGAAGGTTCAACGATAGTACAAGCTGATGCTGTAATAAAATTACAAAATGCTTCAAAACAATGTATATATAATTTATCACATACTTTTCCACTGAACCAGAAAGAATATCAAGACTTACTTCCTCCAATTGAAAGAGAACGTCCTCTTAATACTGATGGTAAGCGAGGATTCTTCAGTTACATATTGGTTACTTACATCTGAATATTTGTATGAATTGTGAAGTGATGCATGATTATAAAATACAAGATGTACTTTATTGACATGATGGTTAATTTTTACTTTGTATGTATTGTTGAATTGAGTTCTATTAATATTTTCTTGTTGCAGTAAATACAAGTACCAAGGCAATGGGCAGATTGAATAGCAGTATACCTCAAGTACCTCAGTTAAAAACCAATTTTGATGTACTGCATTTTCGCAAATCTTTGCCAATTTTTAATGCAAGAGAAGAGATTCTTACTGCATTGAATAACTATCAAGTGGTCATAATCGCAGGCGAAACTGGGTGTGGCAAGACCACACAAGTACCACAGTATATCTTGGAGCATTGTCAGCAGAAGCATCAAGCTTGCAGGATTATTTGTACACAACCCAGACGTCTGTCGGCAGTATCTGTGGCTGAGAGAGTGGCATTTGAAAGAGACGAGAAGATTGGTCAGACGTTCGGCTATCAGATACGACTGGAAAGCAGAGTAGCTCCGAAGACCCTTTTAACATATTGTACAAATGGAGTATTACTTCGTACTCTTATGGGTGGTGATTCTGCTCTATCTACGCTTACGCACATTATCGTCGACGAGGTGCACGAACGAGATAGATTTTGTGATTTTTTGTTAATAGCTTTAAAAGATGCGCTAGTTAAATATCGTTCTCTCAAACTAATACTCATGAGCGCCACGATGGATACCAGTATCTTTGCGAAATACTTCAATAAGTGTACCGTCATCAATGTCCCCGGCCGATCGTACGACGTAGACGTATATTTCTTGGAGGATATTTTAAAGATGACAGGTTACATGACGAAGGAAATGCTCGCGATGAAGAAAGAGTTCTTTAAGCTGAAAGATCAGAGGAAGGTTTTGGAATCGTGGACGCAATACAAACCCCAGCATTCTAACAGAAATACTACGAAGGAAAAGTGTCTATTGCCGGCGCCGATTTTAGCCCAACAGAGTGATCCTATACCAGAAAGAGTCAAGCTGGAACCTTGGCTGATGGAAGAAATGGACAAAAGTATTTCGGACGCGTGGTTAAACGGCGGAGAGGACAACTTCGCACAACTTTTGCATTTCATATTATCCGAAAATGTCTCCGTGGATTATCAGCATTCTAAGACTTCTGTGACGCCATTGATGGTTGCTGCAGGTAGAGGTTGTATCAACACAACCGAGCAACTTCTTAATTTAGGCGCGAATCTTAATTTGAGGGCGGGTAACGAATGGACCGCGTTAGACTGGGCTAAGAAGATGAATCAAACCGAGTGTGCCGAACTGATCGAGGCTTACATGAAAACCTACGATTGCACGGTATCGAACGATGAGTTGATGCGCGTTGCTGAGACGTCGCTCTCTGAAGAGAGTAAAATATTGCTCGACATATACCATCATACGTTCAACGATGACAATATCGATTACAACCTACTGTTAGAAGTAATATTTTACATTCATCTGAAGATGCAACCCGGCTCTATTTTGATATTCTTACCGGGATACGACGACATAGTGACGATGAGGGACAAAATCAATGCGGAAGAGAAGAGGATGAATCAAGGTTTACGTTACAGTTTGTACGTACTCCATTCTAACATGCAGACTTGTGATCAGAAGAAGGTGTTCAAGTCCAGTCCACATGGCACACGCAAGATTATTCTCTCGACAAACATAGCGGAGACTAGCATCACGATCGACGACGTTGTATATGTCATCGATTCGGGTAAGATCAAGGAGAAATCCTTCGACGCTATATCGGGTGTATGCACGTTGACTTCGAATTGGATATCCCAGGCTTGCGCGAAGCAGCGAAAAGGTAGAGCGGGCAGGTGTAAGAGAGGAATTTGTTATCGTATGTTTTCATCCGTGCGATTCAACAATATGCAGCTTTATCAGACGCCCGAGATCCTGCGTCTACCGTTGCAAGAACTGTGTTTATATACGAAATACCTGACGCCGGGCAATACACCTATTGCCGAATTTTTGGACAGAGCTTTAGAGCCGCCGTCCAACATAGTCACTAGAAACGCAGTTCAGTTATTGAAGACAATCGACGCGCTGGATCCTTGGGAGGATCTGACCGAGATGGGAAGTCATCTGTTGGATTTACCGATCGAACCGAGACTCGGCAAGATGCTGTTATATGCTGTCGTTCTGAAGTGCCTGGATCCTATTTTAACTATCGTTTGCAGTTTGGCGTACAAGTAGGTCTACATTTGCATATACACGTGACATGTTTAACACCCGTAACTTGTGTAATTTCTCATCACCATGACACCTGTTACAGGGATCCTTTCGTACTGCCGTCGCAACCGTCACAGAAGAGAGCTTTAACTGCGGCACGAAAGAAATTTGCTACTGGGACATATTCAGATCACATGGTGGTGTTGCGAGCATTTCAGGGTTGGCAGAACGCTAGAGCGTCTGGCAAGGAACGTGCCTTCTGCGAGAAGAATTTCATCTCCGCTCCTGTGATGGAGATGGTGGTGGGAATGCGTACACAGCTTCTCGGTCAATTGCGCGCGTCCGGATTCGTCAGAGCTAGAAGTCCCAGCGACATACGGGATTTAAATTCCAATTCGGAAAATTGGGCAGTCGTGAAAGCAGCGCTGACTGCGGGCTTGTATCCCAACTTGATTCGAGTCGATCGTGATCATTTCCAGCTGCGAACGCAGTACGTAACACTGTGTTATTTAGGTAACTCGCCTTAATTATAGACAATTTATAAAATTATTGCTTATGTTTAATTTTGTATAGGAAAGAGGTCAAAGTGTTTTTCCATCCTTCTTCGACCTTGAGGGATTTTCCGAAGTCTCCGAGAATGACGTCCGCGCAAACACACGCGTCTAATGTACACTCTTTACCGTGTGATTGGCTACTTTACGAAGAGATGAGCCGTACAGGACGTTTCTGTCATGTGAAATTCGTTACGCTTGTCAATCCATTGACAGTAGCGCTTTTTAGCGGACCGGCTAGATTACCAATGGATGTGCTTCATGAGGCTGAAGGTAAGCAACAATTTCTCACGTGTAATACTTTTATCAAGTGCTTGGTTACTCATCGTGGTTATCTCGATTTATAATGTTAAAAATGAGAAAACACACGCTTATAATATCTACAAAGTACTTTAAAATAAAGGAATATATAAAAAATGACACCTGCAATTAATTAAATTTATTGAGCATACTTGTAAAATACTCCGAACACTTTTCCTTTGCCTTAACAATTAACAAATTACCGTAAAATTTATTAAGATGAAGGGAAAATGCGTTTGGAATATTTTACAAGTGTTGTGTTTAATTAATCACAAGTGTTATTTTTTGAATATATTCCTTTATTTTAACCTGTATTTTGCAAAAAGAATTTTGAGCATGCATTTTCTCGCTCCTGATGTCAAGCAGCCGTGAGGAACCTAAGGACTTTAAATTCTACGTATAATACAATGCATTATATATATAATTTCTTTGTACTAAATATATACATTTATACGAAAATGTCACATATATGCATTCGTAGCTGTGTGGGAGAGCGATTCGGATTCAGAGGTCGACGAGTCGCACGAAGGAACTATCTTCAAACTCGACGACTGGGTGGTCTTTAAACTCGATCCCGAGACGGCGGACTTGTTTTTACAGTTGCGGCAAAAGTGGAATGCTTTGTTTCTTAGGCGTATGAAGGCACCAAATAAGGCTATGTCAGCGCTAGACGAAAAAGTCATCAACACTTTAGTGACCGTACTTACAAACGAGGAGCAAGCCTGTGGTCTTCAGCAGCCTACCGGCATCGGCCAACGACCACGTCCTTTAATTGTCGATTATTATCCTGCGAATGTCAGGAGAGATGATTATCCAGAAGTAAGTTTGTGATACTTATTTAATGTTGGTCGCACATGCATTTTTATAAATCGAAATCAGACAAATTTTCAATATGATCTAATGTTTTATCCAGAGGTATTTCTGAAACTGCAAGAGGAATTATCGTACGTCACGCATAATTTGAATCTTCATGATAACTGCTTTCAATTGTTAATACTGTATGTAAATGTTATCCTGTAATTCGAAATAATTTTTGTTGATAGCAAATATAAAATAAATATACGATATCTTGTAACGACACATACCGGCACATGTGTCGTTACGCTGACTGCCGCCGAACATCACGCGGCAGTCAGCTGGGCGCACACCCCCCGACCCGCGCTGTCACCGCGCCTTTCAACGCGCTCACCCGAGGCTGGCCGAAGACTCGACAGCAACGCTCGGGAATGATCGGCTACCGAGCCGAACTCACGACGCCGCCAAAACGATCCTCGGCGAACGTCGCATACTCACGATTAATCTCGATCAAATTCGGATTAATGAACGAAAGAAACCGAAGACAGGAAATGACGGATATATAAATCCGACAGTTCTTGTCTTGAGTTAGTCGAGTCTTGGGGGACAAGCTTCAAGCAGTCTTTGAAGAGTCTTCGAAACATCTCAGGAAGTCCGTCATCTGGGCATAGCCGTCAGAAAAGTCCGCAGAAAGCATCCAGGAAAATCGAGAGTGCGAGTAAGTAATCTACCAGGCCGCAGCCGTCGGCATCCGCGATTACTCCTTGTACTTTGCGATATAGAGATCGGACGGCGAGTTTGCCGTCGCTCCGGTGTGTTCACCACAACGATCTCATTTTGTGCCGTCTTTGCGATATAGAGATCGGACGGCGAGTTTGCCGTCACTCCGGTGCGTTCATCGGAACGATCTTATTTTGTGCCGTCTTTGCGATATAAAGATCGGACGGCGAGTTTGCCGTCGCTCCGGTGTGTTCACCGGAACGATCTTATTCTGTGCCGTCTTTGCGATATAGAGATCGGACGGCGAGTTTGCCGTCGCTCCGGTGTGTTCACCGGAACGATCTTATTCTGTGCCGTCTTTGCGATATAAAGATCGGATGGCGAGTTTGCCGTCACTCCGGTGTGTTCACCGGACCGGTCTTGTTTTGTGCCGTCTTTGCGATATAAAGATCGGACGGCGAGTTTGCCGTCGCTCCGGTGTGTTCACCGGAACGATCTCATTCTGTGCCGTCTTTGCGATATAAAGATCGGACAGCGAGTTTGCCGTCGCTCCGGTGTGTTCACCGGAACGATCTTATTTTGGTGCCGTCTTCGCGATTCAGAGATCGAACGGCGAGTTTGCCGTTACTCCGGTGTGTTCTCCGGAACGCTCTCATAAATAATTGCTGCTGATACGCTCTAGACAAGTCGAGAATCACGCATTAGACAAAACCACCGTCACGTAAACACGGCCGCTCCTAGAGACGGCGAGCATAAGCGAAGAAACAAACCCGCGCGTCGAGACGGCACCCAAACAGTAGGAACCTCGCGCAATAACACGCGATCATTACATGCTAAAGCAATAAAATAAAGCGTCACTGTCTACAAACACCGACCGACTTCAATTATTCACCAAGATCACCTTCTCCTAATAAAATTTCTGCGCGCGATTCGCTTACGACGATCGCAACGCAGGGTCGGATCGATAAAGAAAATCCGAACCCGGAGGCACCGGCGTTACAATCTGCGTATGCATATTAGATATAGGACTGCTTCATGAATGCTGCATTCTGATTTTCAGTATTGACAAAGACTGTGTTAAATTGTGTTACATAATAACTTCGAAATAATATTCATTAATATTTCATGTTATAGATGAAGTCTTTAGGTTAAGTACAATTATATAGCTATTGTACGAAATGTAATTTTTTACTTATTGCAGTAAGGTGTCCGTATTATACTTTTCTAGTACCTGCAGGATATAAATAATGATATTAATTATCATTGAAATCGATTTTCGTTTTTCTGTATCAAATGTTTGTTTCGTCAGACTCAATGTAAAGTTATCTTGATGAATGATAAAAAAATATTCAATCGAATTCAGTTCATAAATATGTAAATAGACCTATAATCGGCGTATCTTATACAAATATGTGATATATTGTGTAGATATACTAAAGTTTCCAGATACACGGGTTTCTGATTATTTGGATACTTGAAATTTGTGGCAATTTAGAAATTCAAACTGCATTATTAGACAGTCCAAATAATCCAAGTTATTCGGGTTCAGATTTAGACTAAAATAAAGATCCTGATCTAGAATCATATTTTGATCCAATTAAGTCATCATTAAATTAATATTAAAATTATAATTTATATAAAATATAACTCATATATTGACTATCAAATTTATGTAAGGGATCTAGATTGCTCTGAACGTATCTGTTTTGTTGAAATTGTTATGAATTTAGTTTTAGGTAGGTATTATAAAACTTCAGAAAAGTTTTCGATCAGAATCCTTGAATTATTCCCTAAATTTATATTGTATTTTCTAGGAAAAATAGGATAATTCTGATCGGAACTCTTTCTGGATAATTTTAGAATATTTACTCTGGGAGATTAGGATTAAATTCGATGTTTTGACTCGTATTTGACTCGCAGTTTGTAAAATCATTGCAAATCGAATAATCGAAATTTGAAACTTCACATTTATTCGTTAAAACTTCAGTTTATATTTGAAAACTATTAGTATATTTTAATATTCTGGAAGTTTGTAGTAAGATCCACGAAATTATTATATATGTATTAGGTTGTTCGGAAAGTTCGTTTCAAATTTTTGAAATAAATTAAGAGCGCAATATTTTACACAAAGAGGAACTTTATTGAAGCAAATATGTACCGTTTTGTTCAACGACCATCTTTCAGGAAGCTGCATGATGCCTTTGCTCCAAAATAAAGGTTTCTTATTGGCGAAGAATTTATCAAGATGACTTTTGAGGACTTTCAAAGACTCGAATTTCTTGTCCCGAAGAAAATTTTTTAAAGAAAGAAATAGATAGTAGCCAGATGGGGCAAGATCGGGAGAATATGGAGGATGAGGAAGAACATCTCATTCGAAGTCTAACAGCTTCCTACGGATAGACATTGCGACGTGAGGTCTGGCGTTATCATGATGGAAAACAATTCCACGCCTGTTGGCCAATTCAGGGCGCTTCCGTGCGATGGCAGTCTTCAATTCGTCCAGTTGAAGGCTGTACTTCGCCGCGTTGATGGTTTCGTTTGGTTGAAGAAGCTCATAATATACTACGCCCTTAAAATCCCACCAGATACTCAGAAGAACCTTTTTCGCGTGAAGCCCCGGCTTGGCCACTGTTTGCGTAGACGCGTCGCTGGTTCCCCACGACCTCTTGCGGCTAACATAATTGTATAGGATCCAACTTTTATCGCCTGTTACGATCCTCTTCAAGAACGGTTCTTTTTGGTGCCGTTGAAGCAGCATATCGCAGACGTTCACACGTTCCAGCAACTGCCGTTCATTCATTTCGTGTGGCACCCACACATCCAGTCGACTTGAGAATCCTAGCTTCTTCAGATGGTCATGTACGGTGGAAACAGACTTGGCCAGAGTGTCGGCGAGTTCTCTAACTGTCACTCGAGGATTTTCGTGCACGAGATCCATAAGAAGCGTTTCATCAACCTCCTGAGGCCGGCCTGAGCGAGCTTGATCTTCCATGTTGAAATCGCCAGCTTCGAATCTTCGATACCATTTTCGAACTGTCTGGTGAGTGACGCAGGCATCTCCATATACTGAGAACATCTCATTCAGGGTCTGCGAAGCCGTGAAGCCACGTTTAAAGCAATATAGCATCACATGACGAAAATGGACTTTTTGGTTCTCCATTTTTCAAACTGATTTCTGACGAAATAGTTGCACTTAGGAAGATCTGCGAAGTTTCCTTAGCGGGCTCATAGATCCGGGAATGTTTGTTGACAAACATAAAATCGTTTAGAGCGCCCTCGTTCTTACTGATTACATAGAAATGTGGAGCGCTCGAAATTTGAAACGAACTTTCCGAACAACCTAATACATGTATATGTATACATGGCCCTTAGGGCCAGAGCATAGACTTAGGGTAAGAGCACAGGCTTTTACATAACACATAATACATAACGCATAAGAGAATAAACCAATTAGTTTTCTTCATTTCCCTCCTCAGGACAGAAATGAAGAACTCTGATTGGTTGATTCTCTTATGCGTTGTGTATTATGCGTTATGTAGAAGTCTGTGTTCTGGCCCTTATTCTGCATAACGCATAATACACAACGCATAAGAGAATCAACCAATCAGAGTTCTTCATTTCTATCCTGAAGAGGGAAATGAAGAAAACTAATTGGTTTATTCTCTTATGCGTTATGCATTATGTGTTATGCAAAAGGGCCAGAGCACAGACTTCTGCATAACGCATAATACACGACGCATAAGAGAATCAACCAATCAGAGTTCTTCATTTCTGTCCTGAGGAGGGAAATGAAGAACTGATTGGTTGATTCTCTTATGCGTTGTGTATTATGCGTTATGCAGAAGTCTGTGCTCTGGCCTATAGTCTGTTTTTTTTAGCTGCACTGCGGAACTAGTGCAATAAGTTAGAATGAGACAACTATATTTTTTCTCACTTTAACTTATTGCACCAGTCCAGTAGTGCAGCTAAAAAGAACAGACCAAATGTCACCGAAATTGTTCTCGAATATTCAAGATGATCTTTTGCCGCATTAATCTTGAATCTCGAATAATTAGCAATCGATTATTTAGTATTAAATTTTTAACCCTGTAAATATAATATCGGATTAATACATATAATATCGGAGTAATATATATATAAGTACAAGTGACGTATGAAAATAACGCTTCTATAAAATAAGACGAATTCCGTCCGAGATATCAATGTATTGTAACACACAGCATAATTCATACCAAAATGATAACCATTATCGAGTCATGCTGTTAAAGAATAAAAATTCATCTAATTCTTTATTCTATCATTGCATAAATGTTACAACTTCTGAGCAAATCGCTCGCGCTCTCTTGCCTTATTAATTTTCGCCTTATTAATATATATATATATATAATTATAATTTGTTAAGTCATCAATAAATTATGGTTATGAATTCTAAATTGATAGTGTTCAAGTATTTGCTAATTTTTGCATTTATTTTGCTGAAAAGAATGTTTAACACGTTCATTGTCAGACTGAAAATTTGAATTTCGTGTGGTGGCCAAAGTTATTTTTTCTTTTATTTATTTTTAGTCGTTTTTTTGCACGATTGAACTGGCATTGAACTGAGTCTTTTCGAGGGTCCTGGTTTGTCACTCATAATAAAAAACAATCGCATAAACGGCTGTTTGGTGAGAGGCCGCAACACGCGATATCGCGTGACCGACAATGAACATGTTAATGAAAATTTTTTGCACTAGTGCAGAAAGTTCAGCTAAAAAGAACTGCGTTACGCGCACACGTGTCGCATTATGTTCATGCGCATGTGCAACGAAATTGGAGGGAATCCAGTAACGTACATATATAAGTAGTTTTGGCGGACGACCAGCAAATAGGTGATATGCCGATATCTGGTCTATGCATGCTAGATAATTATAATGTCATATATATAATAATATTATATATTACAAATTTTAAGTTTTCAGAGTATATATACACACACACATATATATATATATATAGATTGTGAAAAATATTTTTCAGTAATGTTATGGAGTACAACGATACCCCCATTGTTTGTTTAGATACTTCTATGATGTCGCGTATGCGCGTGACGACGTAATTCGGTTCCATGTGATTTCATAATTCTTGGTTATACTACGCAGCGAGTCCTTCGATGAATGAAACGTAAAATAGGTTAGATTAGGTTTAATATATTAATATAAATTAATATAGTCGTCAGAGTGTCGTCAGTATATCTTAAAAAATAAATAACGCGATAAAAATTCGCCCAACAGTTGTTTAGTCTTTATTTTTATGGTATACTACTCTACAATGATTCTTATAGCATTTACGTATAATTTTTCCCGTTTAATATTTACAGGCTAGTACTTGCATGTAACATTTTTTTAAAGAAAGAGAATTAAGATATCACTTTGAGATGTCCAGTTTTCGGAATTCTTGCAACTTGTTAACAATAAGCGGGACTTTGGTACATTCTAATAGACTTTTTAATCTTACTTCACCTGTACGTTGTATATACACAAGTAAGTTTAAAGTAACCTTTGGCTTTGCCTAGTGATTTAATATTTTATCCACATTAGCTTATTGTCTATTCATATTTCAGGTATATTCTCTATTGATGATGTGTCCAAAACAGTGAAACAAGTGGAAAATCCAGCATATGTTCCAAAGACATACCGTAAGTTGTATTCTTTATCATTTAAATGTAATAAGACTGCATAGAAATGAAAATTAATAAATCTCTAGAAAATAACATTTTTTTACTTATTTTTGAACAGCATTCTCTAGCAATCCAGATGCACAGTCTCTAGAGACAAAGAGACATTTAAAATGGATGCTGCAGAAAGATATTCTGCGGCAAGATATGTTCCTGGTAGGCGCCCCTGGTACACGGAGGCGAGAACTAGCTCTTAGCTTTTTGGAGTTAACAGGACGAGAAATGGAATTTGTTGCACTGACCCGCGATACAACGGAAGCGGATCTGAAACAAAGGAGGGAAATAAAAAATGGCACTGTGTACTATCATGATCAAAGTGCAGTGAGAGCTGCGACGAATGGGCGGGTTCTTGTAATTGAAGGTGTGGAGAAGGCAGAAAGGAATGTGTTGCCTGTGTTAAATAATTTATTGGAAAATCGCGAGATGCATCTGGAGGATGGTAGATCTCTTATCCCGGCGGTGCGCTATGATAAGTTATTAAAGGTACTAATTCAATTATTACGTGGCAGTTTATCGCTTACGGAATCTTTTCTGATGAGTTAGCTAAGTCGTTGTGTTCAAGTACATAATTTGTGACGAAGAATATTGGTTCGCAGATACATACCAAAGCACAGTTAGACGCGTGGCATCTGGTACGAGTCAGCGAAGATTTCCTAGTGATAGCGTTGGGTCTACTGTCACCGCGATACCCTGGTTACCCGTTAGACCCACCACTGAGATCTAGATTCCAGGCTCGTTATGTTCCGCCAGCGCAGTTCGAGGTAAGTGTATATAAGCTGAGTTTACAGCTTTTAAAATACTAATAGATCAATTAGATTGCACGAAGGCATCGAGATATTGTATACCGCGCTGAGTTTCTCTTGGCGGTGTTACTCTTCCTGAGAAAACTATATTTGCGTATATAGAAAGGAATTAGAGTCGCAGCGTGGCTAGCGGGTAGAGCGGCAGATTCGTAATCCGGGAAATCACTGGAGTCGAATCTCGCTAGACCACTAAAAGGACTGCGCTCCTTATTTAGTGATATGAGGTAACCCTAAATGGAAAACTGAGTTCCGTCTTTCGTTAAACAGTGGGTCCACTCATGGCCCGCACCCGCCATGAAGTACCTCAGTGCGTACTGACTTATGTCAAATCGTTCACTCTTATGGCGATATAAATCGACTAAGCCCGGCTAGCAACCGATTTAGGGAATTTTTTTAAATATACTCACAGTTCTGGTAATCAGCCTCGGAACTAGATACGAACAGGGCATAAGTCCTACTAAAAGAAGAAGAAGAAGAAGAAGAAGAAGCGAATTAACATTTTAGAAAAGCCATTAAGCAACTTTATCATCATGTGTAGCGCACGACAGTCTTTTATTAAAACTTTATGCCAACGGTCAACTTTATCAGCAACTTGCGATCGTGTGCGGAGACGACGTTGCTATATTATTATTAAAATTGCCTCGTCTACGACACGGCGATTAAGACCACGAGTCCTGATTTATTTCTCAATTGCGCTTCTCGTGTACGACTATCAGATGTCGGCTATCAGATATCGCCGCTGAGATAGCGTAATACGCAGGAGCAGCAATCTAATCATTCACAGTGGCTGGTCTTCGGAGATAGTGTATCGTATAGTTATGCGATCACGCGTGTCGCAGGAGACGCTCGCACGATATAACTCGCAAAACTTTTGTCTGATTTATGGGGCCGGGGTGGCTGGCGTACCATTAGGCATGGGGTGCGGAGGTCGCACGAGAACCCCCCCGCGATCCGTCCATCCCTTCCGGTGCTTCTCTCGCTCGCATATAAACCGAGCTCGTGGCTGCGCCATGGTCACAGGCATCGTGGCTTGGATCGCGTGTCCCGAACAGTCGAAACCTTACCTGTCCTCCTGTTGTACGCCCGCGAGTCAATACGTCGTGATTCGAACGGACTTACGTGTCGGATCAGAAAGAAACGCAAGGCACCGCGTCGTGCTGCTTCTCCAAGTTTCAGAGTCCTCACTGACAGTGCGACCGCGCGTTACCCGCGATTGTCACGGATGTAATTATACTGTCGACTCATTTCGAGATCCTCCCGAAGTTTCGCGACGAAGGTGTCGTAACACGACGTCGTCCGCGAATTATTTCATCCTCGCTCGTGATTACCGAGGAACAGCGAAGAAATTACGCGGAGCTATTGGACTTTACTTTCGTTATTTCTTCTTCATCGCCGTGGGATTAATTCTGTGTCCTGAGAGAGACGCGTGAAACGAATGACGCATTGAGAGCCGAATTAGCGGCGCAGCGCTGAGTTATGTTTATTTATTGGACGGTGCGTTTATTTATTGGACAGATGCAATGTTATCGACGCTAAAGTCATTCATCGCACATGTCAGGCGCGAAGCTTCTTCTCTTGTTGAACTGGAAAGCTTGCTGTTTTTCGGATAATACCAGTAGAGAGTGTTATCATCCCTTCGCACCCTTCATGTACCGCGTTATGCCAGCTATATGGGCATCGTCAGAGAGACCTCTCTTCGTCCGGACAGTCTGGGTGGACGGTATGCGTCACACTGTCCTGTCGCCCGATGATCCTGTCGCTAATCCGCGACTGTGTCGGCGCGCGAGGACGTCCAAGGGGAAGAGCTCCCCTGCGACCCACCAGCAGACGGAGACGAGGCTGGATTGCTTGAACAGCTGCTTCACGAACCTGCACGTGGTGGTGGAGAAGAATTTCCCGGAGCGAGACAAGATCCCGCCGAGGATCGCGCGTAGACAGACGGCATCGTCCTGCACGAGAGTGTGCACCGAGAAGACCGGCGGCTTCCTAAAGATCTACGTGAATGACGTGGACAAGTTGGACGAGAATCGTGAGCGTTACCGGACGTTGGAGAAGGAAGAGACGACTGTCGTCGCGGCAGACGAGCCCGTCCTCGACTACGGCAGCGATGTCGGGCGATCCTTGTGCCTGCGACGACACGCGTTCTCCGCTGTGATGGCACCCAAGCAGGATGACAGATCGTCCAGCGCGCACTGGAACCCGCTGTCCGAGAGAGTGATGCAGTGGCTGGATCTGTCCGGAAGGACGCAGGACTACGAGGCCGAATCAGAGGACAGCTCGAGGCTTGAGGACGATCGGCGATGGAGCGTTGTCAGGAGCAGGAGGCATCATTTTCCGCAGAGACGTGAGAACTCGGTCTTCGTGACTAGGGAACGTATAGCTGTACAGAATTACAAGCTGCAGAAGAACCACAAGTTGGAGTGCCTGATGAAAGCCACTGACAACGACGAGGCGAGACTCGCGCAGAAGAAATCGCCCAAGATAAAGGGCGATGCGCGGACGGGGCAGGACGAGGCTCGAAAGGACGAGAGCCCCGTTCTTCGCGTATCGTTAGATGACTCCTCGAAGACTCGACTGTTGAACACCGAAGAGAACGATTCGAAGAACGACGAGGTCGAGTCGCGGGACGGCCTCTTGGCCGTGTGGTCTCCGCCCGGCCGGTTGCAGCTGCACATTGTTATGCCGAACTTTGCTTCTGTCGAGAAACGTGCATCCTCGTTGGAGTCGCTGGTCTGTGATTGAGTGCGATGAGGAATATGAAAATTAATGAACGCGGCCCACTTGGTTTCCGCGTGATTTATCAATCACAGTCAATTGATACTCGTTGCACCGTCGTCGATCTCTCGACATCGCATCGCTGCGATAAGTTTTGCGCTCGTAAGAGAGACAACGCTATTAAGGATATTCAATGATTGTTTATACATATTATCAAAGTGACAGTGCGTGAGGACTTGGTATATTCCAGGCCCTTCGAAGCGCGATAATAGCTTCGACGCCGAGACGCGATTTGACGAATACTCGCCGAAGTGCGAGGCATCCCACCGAGCTACGTAAAATCTATATGACGTTATGAAATTATATTATTATATATTATTACCTTTTTAATTCAGTTGGATTGATCATTGCTCGCTTTACTATCAGCTTTTAAGGTGAGTGTCTCAATTTGTGATTACACTCGGTTCTCTCAGTAAATCATTTGATGCGAATTCATATTTATCCTGAATTGTCCTTACGTATGTCCTTACTCTAAATTGTGTGCAGCAAGTTCCTTATATCGGTTGCAAGTTTTGAATAAAATTAAAAGTTGCAATAAGCGCGCGCTTATTGTGCGTCATAACTACAAACATACCGCTGACGACAGTCAAACAATTACTCGCCGACGGCTTGGAAGTTGATGGTTAATATCAAATATCTCTTTTTGTTCGTCTCTTTACGCAGTTATCCTTCGAGGCTCCTGGTCTCTGGCCGTGGAACTTTTGATCGGTGACGTCAGAAGCGAGAAAACGTACGTCGAAATTCTTACGTACTATTTGCAAATAAGAAGATATTTGTATTTAAGAATACTTTAGATTGCTAGAACATACTTATAAAATGTTCCGAACATTATGTTTCTTGAAAATTAATCAGCAACCGTAAAATGACTAATAGAGATTATTAATTGGTCATACGGAATAATTGCACATGTGCATGCGACTAGGCCTCAAATTACAATCATTTTGTGGTCGTTGATTGACTTAAGTAAGAAGTACGATACGTTCGGAGCATTTTACAAATATGCTCTAGCGACCTGATTTTATTTTTTCATACAAATATCTTCTTGTTTGGAAATGCCATACAAGAATTTTCAATTGCCATTTCGCGCTTCCAATATGGCCGCGGCGAGCATCCAGGAGATTTAACTTTTTCAAAACTAAGCTGCCCGAATAGAGAAACGAAACTAAACTGTCATGTCACTAAATAATACTTCAATTATTTGTGAGAAAACATAAATAAATTATAACCTTCCTACGAATCAGGAAAATATAACAATTAAAGTTCCAAATGTTTAAGTTTTCCGACAAAATCAACTTTGTGTATTTAGCTAAGTACTATACTTTCGCACCTGTGAACTTAGCTCAATAATATACTTCTAATTCATTAATTTATTTTCCTGGTGAGGTTACGAGGTCGTTAATCAGAATATTCATCTCATACGAGTTTTCGAGGCTTTCAAAATGTTTTATCAAACGCATGTTTGTTGCGAAGAACTGAAATAATCTCGCTTGCAGGGGATGTGACGTCACAAAAAATCAATATACGATATTCAGAAAATATTACTTTCTTTATTCGGATTCATTCCGCGATATATTCCGATATTCCGCAATAAATAACGCCATGAGTTACTCCGCGTCGAGAGTTAATCCGAAGCCGTGATGCAAACCCGTTATTGCGCGCCGCGGAAATTGGAGTCGACGGCGACGTCGCCTTGTTTTATGCTGTTCGAAAACTGAATAGAACTTAGTTAAAACAACTCGTGGGAAAGATTACTTAAAACTTCAAAATAATTACACGGCATAGAGCATTTAAATCGTTTCTCGTGCAACGAATATTATCCGTCACGAAGCGCGGTGTACATATTAGTCCGAGAAAATTGCTGTCACGCGCAGAAACGAGCCGAAAAATACATATCAGGGAGGGGGGGTTTATGAATGTAACATAGAAATAGAACAAGACTCATGTCCGCCGACGTAGGAAACTACATCACCGTTTCGCTCGTTTATTTAAAATCACGCGGAAGAGCGTCGGCGGATTCGGCTTTTTGCTCGAAGCTCTTCCTTTCCTCTTCCTTTTTGAGAGCGGAAAGCACGAAAAAATGATACATTTCTTGTCGTTATATCATGCAATTATAAAGTTACATCGTGTCCAGCTTCGTGCTGGATCCTATTTTTGCGAATCGTGTCGGCCATGACTTCGTTGACTTATGCGGCACCTTTGCGAAACGCGATTGTCACTGTAATGGAAAATGGAAATAAACACGGACCGTGTATTCGAGGCCGCAGCCATATAATATTCCCCAGCGTCTATTATCGAGGCAATAAAACTTGGTTGGCGAAATAAGGGTGCGCGATCATCCGTTTTCTACATACACGGTATCACCGTTTAATAATCAATCATCGCAAAAGTCGGCGCGTTAAAATGGAAGTGTGACTTCGCCGCTAATGGATGGACGATTACGGAAAAATATCGCGGCAATTTAAGTTTGCCATGATTCATTCTCGAGAATTATCATGGCGAGTAACAGATGTGCGCGGCTGAATTTAGAAATTTTTCCTGAGTCTATTGTGTGTGTCTCTTAATTTTATTTATTTAATAATTATTTAATAATTTATTTACCAAGTTAATTTTTCATCGGACGCACTGATATACAATCTAATTGTCTGACACCGTGAAGCACCAAACGGCGCGATAGCGACTTTTCAGTTGATGCAATTGCCTTGCCCGTATGTGCCGGCGTCGCACAATGGGGCCAGATGACATTTTTTGGTTCAAAATTCTTTAGAGACCTGAATTCCCAACCGATCATCGGCATCAATGGATGAGGTTGATCCTGAATAAATTCCAAAGAGATCTGTCTAGCTGAAATTTTGAAAAAATTATCGCTTCAGGGTTCATAGGTTTAGAGTTTGTCTTAAAAGTTTCGAGGCTCGAACTTAATGTTTTATAGCTGAATATTCAACATCGAGTATTATTAAGTTCTCGAGCTATGGTTAGATTGGGTTCTTGGACTATTTAGAGCTCTTAATACATACGGCGTCATGTATCCACGAGCTAAAAAGTTCTCGGATTGATAGATTTCCAGGTTGATGGGCTTAAGACTCAAAATCCCTCGGTTTTGTGCTTAACAGGTCTATATTTGATGTTTTTATATTTTGGGCGTATGAGTTTTGAGATAATAGGTTTCTGCTTCAAGATCGATCAATATCGAGGTGTCTGTTGATTGGTTTCATAGTTTCAATCCGCTGAATACGCTATTAGATAGAAATAAGTATCGAATAATGAGTATTTCACAAGTTTCTCGCGTTTAACGATAATTTTGCCTCTTCTGGGGCTAGTAATTCGAGAAAAGAATTTTTTTCAAATTTTGGCAAGACAGATCTCTTCGGAATTTATTCAGGATCAACATCATCCATTGGTGTCGATGATCGGTTGGAAATTCAGGTCTCTAGAGAATTTTGAATAAAAAAATGTCATCTGTGGCGCCACTGTGCGTCGTGTCATTATTATTATTATTATTATTACATTTTCGTGGGATGAAGGCGGGGACTGCACATAAATCTAGAATAGTTGTTAAATTAGTAAGGATTCTCTGTCTCGGTGTATCATAATACCGGTATTATGTTTGATCTCTCGAGCGCGAGTGCATTGAACCACAGAAATTGCCGGAAATGGAGAATCGCGTGTCCGCGGAACAGGCAGTTAATGGGCATGACAGAGACCCGGTGACACTTCTTCGCGGAGGAAGTCGCCGCGAACTTATCCGAGGCCGCGCTGTGTGCGCACGATTAGCCCTGCTTTCATCACGACGGCGCTTTCGCGGGTGCGGTCGTTGATCTTATCTCGCGACGTGCTTGAAGTCGGCGCGATATGTATTCGATATGTCAGGATGTAGAAGAACAAACGTGCGAATAATCGCTGCCGAAGAGAGCTACCGAAGAGCGCTTCGGCAGAATTCATTTTCCATTTCTTCTATTTTCGCGGCGGGTTTCGGCGACGGTCACGGAAACCACATTTCCGCCGACGCTGCAATTACGGCTGATCGAGGGCTCGAGATTATAAGCGGCCGGGCCGATTGAAAGTTTTCGATGGAAATTCCGAGGGTGGGCGGTGATCTCGCGCGCGGCTTCCGTGTCGAGTGGTAGTTATTCAGGTGCTCAGGCGCGCAATGTTGGAAAGCTCTCGGTGTTAATCACTCTCTTTGGGAGGGGCGGGGGGGGGAGGAGAGGGACCGTTCTCTCTCCGTGCGAATCGCGGTATAACATTCCTCATGTTGCGTGCTGCTATGTGGGCTATGCGACTTACGAGAAGGCGGAAGTAATGGGGAAGATAATTCCGCCCCGCTTTGCTGAATTCGAGTGGTTCAACGCGTTGCGGATAGACCATTAAGTAACGTTAAATATGTTACGCAACACCGCCGTAAACTTGCGCGCGGTATAGCGGTTCGGAACTTCCGTCGCGTCGGTCGAATGACTGCCGCGAGTGCAGCGTCGCGAGTGCGCGGAATGTCATTAAGCCGCGAGGTTCCCGGAAAGCGCGTTATTAAGCGACGTTATTAAGCGTTAGTTGGATGTGCTTACTTAATGACCGTAATCCGCAAAAGTCCATTCGCTCCTTCCGGCATGAGACGATTAAAGATTCACGGTGAAATCCGCCACAACGCATTCTTGCTCCGTAGAAAATTGAAATAATCCGCGCGCAATTTTGCCGGGAGGATCATTTAGTTGGGATTGTTTGTTCGAATTCGTCGTGCTGTACGCCACATCAGAATCCTTGCAGATTTTTATTTTGGCGTCCTATAGATATATACAGGGTGCCAAATTTCAAACGTAACAGGTAAAAATTCTCGAAAACTATGAAAGATATTAAAAAAAGCTAAAACACGTGTTCCATGATTTCGAAGGAGAAAGAGAATGGCATTATCAGTTTTTTATTTGAAGGGCATTTTCAGGGTCAGTTGAACGTCAACTTAATTTTTTAAGATAGAAAGCCCAATTTTTTATTATATCCTCTTTTTCTAGCAATTAATTTGAAGAACTTTTGTCTGAAACATTTTTTTATTTGCCTAATATTTTTTGAAATACTTAAGGAAAACTTGGTAACTTTTTCAACATTTAACTTACGATATCTCGCTAACTATTTGTCGAAAGAAAAATAGCATTAGACTTTTTTATTTTATTTACTATCAGGAATATATTACTAATTAAGGATGAGCCCTAACTAAGTTACAGTACTATTATAGTAATAGTTGTAGAAAAAGAAGATATAATAAAAAATTGGGCTTTCTATTTAAAAAAATTAAGTTGACCTTCAACTGACCTTGAAAATGCCCTCCAAATAAACTGATAATGCCATTCTCTTTCCCCTTCGAAATCATGGAACACGTGTTTTAACTTTTTTTAATATCTTTCATAGTTTTCGAGATTTTTTACCTGTTACGTTTAAAATTTAGTACCCTGTATATTACAATCTGCCGCATCAGTAACATTCAGTAATAGATATAAGAAAATTAATACAATCTTGAAGGGTATATGTCGACCTAACGAGACGAGAAGGATCTGTCAGTTGAACAGATCCTGGGCTATTTTTCTTTTAGGTCTTCGTGTTTTGTTCTCTTTCCTCCTAAGGGGAGCTGCAAGTGTGTTCGGGTGGTTTTCCAATCGAAGAATGTAATTCTGACTGAATCTCTTTATCTCATCCTTAACAAGGGAGATGTTTAGGTCTCAAGATCTTTATCACACACCTGGACCTCTAATTCCTCTAATTCTTCTTCAAGGAACGATTGGACGCGCTGAAAAGGTTAGCGCCGAGCATAGACGCCGGCAACTTGTCGCAATTATTGTCGTGCGCCTACGCGTTAGTCAGTCAGGAAGCTGTCGCTATAGGCTTGCCGGACTTTCCCCTGGACAATCTGTCGTCAGCTATTATGATTCTGGTAAATATCATCCTCGCAGAAATCGGTTGAATCCCATCGATTTCAGCACTAATTTCGCACGTTTTGCTTTACGCAGGACCAAAGTCCGGACTTGTCATTGTACGACGTATTCTATAGGCTTTATCCGTACAAATTGTTTCTGGGCAAGGAAGGCCAGAGCGCGGTGGAGGATATCCTCGGTACCTTCAGCGTGTTGGATGACGCTTCAAAAATGGCTACTGTTAACAACAAAATAAGCGCTACCAAGCAAACCTACAATCTCTCGGAGATTAGCATAAAGCGCGATAACGCGGAAACGTGCTTTCACGTAAGCTACCAGCATTACCGATCTGTATTTGCCGTGTGTTATCGATTCTTATCGTTTGACACTACAACTATCAAGCAGTCAGAAATGACCAGTTTGTAATTTCCTACAAAAATTACTCAAACTCTTACACGACGATGCGCGTTGTTCAGCTTGTGTTCAGTAGAAAAAGCTGCTTTGCAACTGTAAAGTAAAATTAGTGAATCCGATCGACGATAACTTTGTCGTTAATCTTGGTTGAGTCTAAAGACATGCACCAATCAGATTCACGAGTGTTACGACAGTCGCAAAGCGGCTTTCTCTACCGGACGCAGGTATTTTATATCTTTAACGGACTTTGAGTAATACTAAAAGAAACAAATTAACGTTTCGTCCTTGTTACAATGTATCTCCTCAGGAACCTGTCATTTCAGCCGCCCTGGTGGAAATATAAATCGCGTTAATTGCCTCGGTGATTCTGATGTCAAGTTCTAAATCTGTCCTTCATACGTATAGGTCTCTTGTGGCGCGAATCAATTGTCTGATGGCGTGAACTGTGATATGTATATAGAGACTAGTTATCAGAACAATTTGTTGGCGAGCATGCTGAAGTCACATTTGACATCCGATTTCTGTTTAATCGGGCCGAAAGGCTGCGGCAAGTCCACCACCGTTCGACGTTTCGCTGATTTATTAGGCTATCAAGTGGAACCTATAGTGCTTTATCAGGCAAGTTATCGTCTCTCAAGTACTTTTTATCAAGCATGGCATGTAGCTCTATATGTCGCCAGTCGTTTCGTTTTCTCCTCTCTTTTCCATTATATCTTTCCCCCTCGTTTGTCTTCGTCGCGAAGGTAACGAGAGAAACGAAAAAGTTACTCGCGCAATGGCGCTGCAGCAGTTCGCTTTGAAACAGTTGAAATATTTTCTTAGGATATGACTTCTAGGGACCTGATACAACAACGGACTACGTCACCTAACGGCGACACGGTCTGGCAAAACTCGCCGTTGGTTGACGCGGCCCTCCATGGCAAATTGGCCGTATTAGATGGAATCCATAGGATTCACTCTAGTACCTTGGCTATAATTCACAGGTAACTCGCTCGCTCTCGAGACTCGATAGATGCGTGTTTCTGGATGATGCACAAAGTGATGTCGTGTTTGGTCCCCGCAGATTAGTCCACGATCGGGAGTTGCAGTTGCACGACGGCAAGCGGCTCCTGCGAGCCGATCGCTATAACCAGATCAAGAAAGAGCTCCGTAACTGCTCCGACGAGCAGATGCGGCGCGACGTCGGAATCCTGCGAATCGACCCCGCCTTCAGGCTGATAGCCTTGGCCGAGCCGCCGATCGTGAACAGCTCGTCCGGGCAATGGTTGAATGCCGAATTGCTCAGCTTGTTCCTCTTCCACGAAATGCGACCGCTCGATCAGCACGAGGAGATTCATATCATAAGCTCGAAGGTGATTATTACGGTTGGCGAAGTGTTCTCGTCCCCGAGTAAGTTCTCTCAGTGAAACGCTCTGTTGCAGTTCGGAGAACCCAGCCGAGCGTTGCTGAGTATTGTAGAGTTGGCGCATGTACTACGTTCATCCCCTGACCCGACTCTACAGTCCCTCGCTGGATCGCTCAGCACCCGGCAGCTATTACGAATCGCTGAACGAATGCATAGGTTTCGTTTAGACGACGCCTACGACGCGGTGCAGCGTGCATGTCTGGCGCGTTTCTTGCCGGCGATTGCGAAGCAAGCCCTTGAGGATTGCTGCCGCCGGTTAGATATCGTCCGGTCTTCATCGCCAACAGACTTCAAAATCGAGTACACAGTCACAGAAGATACTGTGAGGATTGGAAGCACCACACTTGATCGATATCACACCGCGATTCTCACCAAAATACCAGACATTTTATTTTACGACGTGCCGGAACACGTGGCGCTGTTAGAGAAACTGCTCCAGGACTTCAGTCTGGGCCAAAATCTGCTGTTGGTCGGCAATCAGGGCGTCGGCAAGAACAAAATTGTCGACCGATTGTTGCAGCTGTTAAATAGGCCACGTGAATATATACAACTTCACAGAGATACTACCGTTCAAACCCTGACCTTACAACCTATGGTTAGAAATGGGAGAGTTGTATACGAAGATTCTTCATTGGTACAAGCCGTGAAACTGGGCCGCGTCCTCGTTGTCGACGAGGCGGACAAAGCGCCCACTCACGTGACTTGTATATTGAAGGTACGTATAATATAGCCTGACAACTATTACAACCGCTGCACTTTGTCACTCCATAAATTGTAAGAGAGCAACCTGTCATTTTCAGACTCTGGTGGAATCCGGTGAAATGATTCTGTCAGACGGGAGGCGAATCGTTTCCCACACGAGCGGCAGCGTAGCAGCTAATACTAACAACATACTTATGCATCCGGACTTTAGGATGATAGTGTTAGCGAACCGACCGGGTTTCCCGTTCCTGGGCAATGACTTTTTCGGAGCACTGGGTGATCTTTTCAGTACACATTCCGTCGATAACCCAAGCAAGCAGAGCGAAATTCACTTGTTGAAGCAATATGGTCCGCATGTTGACGAGCGAGTGATCAACAAATTAGTGAGAGCCTTCGGCGAATTGAGGAGCATGGCTGATCAAGGTCTGGTTTCGTATCCTTACTCGACTCGAGAAGTGGTCAACATAGTCAAACATTTGGAGGTGAGTTAAGACGAGACTTTCGGTTGATGATGGTATACGATTGACGATATATCTTTCCACAATGTGTTGTAGAAATTTCCAAATGAACCGTTGGCCAACGTGGTGCGCAATGTCTTCGACTTCGACCGGTACAGTCAGGAAATATATGATGCTCTGGTCACTGTATTGCACAAGCATGGGATTCCCGTTGGAACAAACCCGACTAATATCGCTTTAGCTAAGGAGTAAGCTAATTTTTACGTATGCCTTGAATTCTTGTGATATGTGCAATCAAGCGAACAGGCGCTAGCATTAGGAAGATATATTGATGAGTTTAGGACCTTGTGATTTCACTTTTAGTTTTTATAACTTTTTTACAAATTTTATGTTTACAATGGCTTCGTTGTTGTCAGTGTTTTGACCCTATGAGTAAAAGAACGAGAGAAATAAAAACTAGATATCGCAATGCCCCCCCTCCTTTTCTCCATTGCAGAATATCTTTACCCGAGATGAAGATCTGCGGTAGTTGGAACGTCCTCGTTGAATTTGAGAGCGTACCCATTCAGGGAAGGTACGTTAAATTAAAGTCACCGGTGTTCCCGGCGCAGAACGACCGAACTCTGGATCGAGTTGAAGCTAGATCGGCTTGGTTCACGGAACTGCAGAGTTACTGGACGATACCAGTTAGCGAAAACAGTACAGTGACTGCTTTAACGGTCGCGAGTGGAAGTAAAGGGGATGGTACGGATGATGGGATACATGTTCTCACGACGAACCCGTTGAGCGTATTTAGCATGACTCCGGAATTCGAACAGATACGCGAGACGTCGTTAGAGGGCTTGATAAGTCCTTCCAGGGGCAACGTGCCGTATTATAACATGACGGTTGACAAACTCGGGAACGTTTTGGTTCACGAAGAAACTGTAAGTAACACTCGAAGGAGAAACAAAACAAGAGAAAATACCCGTCGTTTGCCGTGAAGCATATCAAATTTGATTCACTGGTTTTTAGAGTAACTCTGCACTCGTACTAAACGTAAACGACGGTTCTGTTCGGGAACTGCAGACCTCATCGTTCCTGGATGTCGCCAGCGATAAAATATCAAGCGCCTTCAGACTCGCGAGTGGTCCTCACTGGAAGATGAAGGCGAATTTATTGTCGTCGCATAATCTGCTCGTCTTCTTCACGTATGGCCAAAATAAGGTCGACGTTGTCAATCTACAAACCATGCTCGCTTATTCGATGAACCTACCATGCGACATCGAGTCGCTGTTGCTCGCCTCCGACAGCAAGTGGTTGATTCAGGATATGTCGAAGAACAAGTACGTCCTCACGAAATCTTCGGACGACGACCCGTGCCCTAGCGTCTTGCGCGAGCTGAACGAATCGAACAGCACGTACTTGAAGGCCGGCAGTGTCCTGAGCTGTGGCAAGAGCAGTCTGTCAGAAGCCGATCTGAGTGCGGCTCTGCAGCAGAGAATCAACTCTCCGAATAGAATCATAGTTACCGATAACACATACGCCGGCATAGCGATTGGTTTTCCCGATTTAGACAGCTCCAACTATCTGCACTTTTGGCCGAGGAAGAGGAGGACGCGCAGCTTTATGACGCCTATCGTCACACAGCACGGGCAAGTGATCAGAACGGTTTCGCCCGATCAAGTTCCCGACGAAGTTTATCCCGAGGATAGGAAACATACAGGGATTTCCGGTTACTTGGAAATAGTCGATATTGTATACCGCAAACTGCGCTATATACCTATTCCGGAGTAAGTATGTATACACGCGCGGTAGAGTTTATATCATGGGAGATTTTCATCAAGAAGAGTATATTTTGTTTCTTTTTTTTTTTTAATACGCTCGAACAATAGTATCGATTGAACGAGAGATATGTTCCAATGCTGTCGTGCGTGCGTTTATTCCCGGTAAAACTAAGAGACCCACTCCACCCTTTTCATGTATAGACCGGTCAATGTCTCGCCACTGACGCAATGGCTGTACTCGAAAGATCTTCCGCTTTATGCATCGCTTATGTCGAACGAAGGTCTTGTCACAATAGACGCCGGTGGCTGTGTTCGCTTATGGGAGACATCCATTACGAATATAGAAAAGTCGTTAGGCGCGTGGCGCAAAATGGTCAGCAGCGGCGAGGAAAAGTTGCAGATTACTAAGGAGAGGTATTCGGGCTTGGATGTGAGCGGGCCGAAGCACGGGAAAGTCGATGAAAAGAACGAACCTCACGTGGGCGGCAATACCTGGGCCGGAGGAACCGGAGGTACGAATGAAACAACACGATAAGGATAATATTCGATCTGATACTCAAGCTTAGTACCCGTCCTCTATGAATTTGTTTCCGTCATTTTGTGAACTGGGATGAGTCAACAATGTTGGTCATTATTGATTTATTTCTGTTCACGAAGCATTGTTCAATATTGTTGATTCACACTTCAATCCACAAAACGTCAGAAACAAATCCACGAAGGATTTGCAGTATCAATCCAAAAGTCAGATCAAACATGTGTTCGTGCAGAACATTTTTCTAGAAGCTATTAATATTCTTGCACTGAAAAAGCACCATATTGTGATACTTTTTAAGTGCAAGCTCGTTTGGTCAAGATACACTCATATCATTCAAAACATTCAAAACATTTTATGGGAAAGTATTTTACGCGCAATATAAATTTTCTCATTGCAGCGTTCATTAATTGTAATATATAAATTTGTACTTTGCTATAAACAGATCCTAGTTAGATCCACATTGTGAAGATTCAAAATATCAAATAAGGATAGTACGCGCGAGAAATTATATTCCAGGTCGAGATACGGCGGGTTTAGGCGGCAAAGGAGGACCTTATCGTCTGGACGCTGGGCACACGGTGCACCAGCTTAGCGACGAGGAGAAGAATGCGGTGCCGGAACACGTAAAGAAAGCCGCCCGTGAGATGGGTCTTCGTGCGTTCAAGCAGCGACTCAAGGATATCCGAATGAGCGAGTACGACCACAAAATGTACAGTCAGTTCAGCGATGCCGTTTCTAGTCAAGTGCAGGCCTTGAGAGTCATCTTGGGTGAGCGAATGCTAAGCCGGTGAATCTGTCTCTTCGCAGAAACCGACGATAACCTTCATCGCGCGTGTTTCGCGCGTGTGTCATTTATAGGCACGCTACAGGCTAAAAGCAACGAGCGACAGTGGTGTAGGCACCAGACGTCCGGCGAGCTAGACGATACGAAATTAATTGAAGGATTAACGGGTGAGAAAACAATTTACCGACGCAGGGCGGAGAAAGAGCCGGAAGTTGGCGCTCCGCAATTAAAGCCGAAGCGATTGAAACTGGTGGTGGATGTGTCCGGTAGCATGTACAGATTCAATGGCTATGACGGCCGGCTTGATCGCGAGCTGGAAGCCTGTGTCATGGTAATGGAGGCTTTAAGCGGCTACGAGGGAAAGTTTCAGTACGATATTGTCGGCCATTCCGGCGACGATTACCGTATTGTCTTTGTCGATCATATGGAACCGCCGACGGATAATAAGCGGAGGCTAGCGGTGATTAAGGTAATTACATTTATTTGTACTTCTCTCCCTTTCTCTCTCCCTCTCTCTCTCTCTCTTTCTCCCTCTCTCTCTCTCTCTCTCTCTTTCTCTCTCTCTCTCTCTCTCTCTCTCTCTCTCTCTCGTAAAAGGCTATATTATGCGATTAAAAATCATGAACTCGTTAAAACCCTCACAGACAATGCATGCTCATTCGCAATTTTGCTTGTCCGGCGATAATACATTGGAGGCAACGCAGCACGCAATTGCAAGCTTGGCGAAAGAGGATTCCGACGAGTCCATCGTGGTTGTTCTCTCGGACGCGAATCTGGAACGTTATGGTATTTCTCCTGAACGATTCGCGAGAGTATTAATGTCCAACGCGGACGTGAATGCTTACGCTATATTCATCGGATCACTGGGCGACCAAGCGACCAGGTAATATCAAATCGTATAGCAATAAAAAATAATCTGTACTTTCATCAGTCGTTCCTTTGTACCGTGAATGCGATTGAGATGTACATTGGTATATTTGTATCCTTTCCAGGCTGATGAAGAAAATGCCCTCAGGTCGCGCGTTTGTGTGCATGGACCTTAAGAATATACCGCGAATCCTACAGCAGATATTCACTGCGTCAGTTTTAAGTACGACGAAGGCAACTTGACGCACATTGGTTTTAGAGAGAATAATTTTACATAAAACGACAGCTAGTTATCTTGGCTACATCTTTTTATACATGACGTATATGTGCAATTATGTGATACATACAGATACGTGATACAGTCACGTTCGTATGATCACTGTAAATCTCTGTAAATAAAAATTTTCTAATTTTAGGTATAAATAAGCGTTCCTCCATATCACGAGTAGGTAGTATAGCCTCGTTGAAATCGCATGTTAAGTAGAAGATACACGCACACGGCACTGGCTGCTCTCATCGACGACCGTCATATGTACGCTACCAGGATCTTTCCGTCCCTCCAACTTCAAGACAAATACCAATTAGGAAGTCTTAATCCTGACGTGTATACATATATATATATATATATATATATCGTCGTGTTATCACGGGGGCTCTCGGTTCTCGCGACTCTCAACTGTGACTTTCTATCCCCGGGGTAAACGCCCGGATTTGCCCGCGCATCCATACTCCACCGAGCGACGTAGCATCGTCGGCGGCAGTGGCCCGACGGGGGTAGCAGCGGCGTGGACCGCGCATCTTGACGGACGGCCGGTCGGGGTTTCATCCCTCGGAGAGCAACGAGCCGAGCACAGCCGAGGTCGCGCGGAGAGGATCGAAGTGGCGTGGTGAAGTCGCGCGCGCGCACATGCTAAGGGTGGTGTGGGGCGGCCGATTGTCAGTCGCACGCCGGTCGTTGAATGGAGCGGGTGTGGAGACGCGTACAGGGTGCCGGGCGCCGCGGTGCTGCAGCTCGTTGCGGCTGCCCCGTGCAGCCGTGTCAGTTGCACGTGGACCAACGCGCGAAGCGCGGCGGCGGCGGCCGTAAATCTCGCGGGCCTCAGACCATCGTCTGTGACTGTCAAGTGCAGCCGTGCCCAGTGCATCCGGTGCTGATCAGGGTTCGTCGTGCGCGACCGGCCATCGCAGCCACCAGCTGTGACTGTCCGCTAGACGCACAGCCTTGTCCGCATGCACAACAGCGGGGATCGGCCGCGAGAAGAATCAGAAGGTAAATAAGTCGTCAAGTCGCAACCACAGGTTGCTGAGAGTGTCCCCGCAAGCGGTGCGTTTCTCGCGGATATACAGGAGTCAGTCGCCCAGTCAGCTGGAGGCGAAGGCGGTATAATTGTGTTATCGGGTAGAGTCGGTTGTGTACGGTATAGGGGTGGTAGGTGGTGGAACTGCTATCTCAAATATTGTTCTGCGGGTGAATTGATTGGGTGAGGTGGGTATGACACGGTACCCGTTCTAGTTGATCGATATCACTTGTTGACCAATGACCTTCTGTCGTAGTTATTAAAAAGCTGTTGGTGGTACATCAATATGGTTCTGTCGTGTGGCGCGGTGTGCTGTCGTGTCACGTTGTATGACGTGGGATAAATTCCGCGCTGGCGACCGTCGCTGATCATTTCCCGGAATTTTCGGCTAGTCTCGAGCGATCGATAAAAGTGGAGGGAATAACGAGCAACAGTTACGCTCATTCGGACACGCTGTTGTAGAGGGTGTTTCAACTTCGTGGTGAGCCCTCTCTCGCTGGTAAATTCTTCAATTCGCTCGGAGAGCGAATTCTCAACTCAAACGTTTCGTCGATGGTGGAATCCCTTTTTCACGAGTGCCCTGGTATCGTCATTTGATGATAGCGGATGATAGCTGGCGGTCGATTGCATAAAGCTCGGCTGCGCGGTCTGAAAGATCGCGGCAAAAGGGGTGGAAGGCATGGAGGTCGGGAGCCAACGTGCTGTTGGCACTTGCGCCGATCATAAGCAGAAGTTCTAGATACATGTGTGAACAGTTAGTGTCGCGTTAATAACCCGTACGTGTGAACTTATTATCCGAGGGTGATGCAATTGCTCATTCGCGGGGTGGGGGTGGGGGGGAGGGGGCAGAGGGGGAACGGGACGATTATCTTGTCCGGATTAACGTGGGGGAAAACCTTCGTGGCGGTAACGCGGAATGTGACGTTTGAAAGCGTTTTCATGTCGACGTAGCGGAACAAATTTCAACCAGTCCGAAGGACTTGAGAGAATGCTAATTCTCGCGCGCAGCCTTTTATCCTCGCAGGAATGCTGTACGAATATTGATTTACGAAGTACCACGTGCTCTCCACGGTGAATCATGCATGGAACACATGCGTGTCGCGTATTTATCGTAATTTCCAGCTTACACGACTCTGCGTGAACCGTGCGCACTTTCGCGGATAAATCACCGTATAAAAGTTCCCTGTCATTTTCCGTGTACGTACGTGATTGCGGATGCGTTACGATTAAATGTTATTTTAGCGTGTGACTCTTCTGTTCTGAATGTGATTCGCACATATTTGAGAATGGCGAGTTGTGCCGGCAAATATACGGAGAATTAAAACGTTTGCATTCCGTATATATATATATATATATTTTTTTTATTGACTTTTAACGTTAACAAAGAAAAAAAGTAATATGAAATATGCAGCACAATTGAGGGAATCATGGAATCGGTGTAGTCGGGCCGAAAAAATATTCGATGAATCGAATCAATTTGGTTCGTGATGCAATTATCTATGTGCTGTTAAATTCAATCCCGATATAACCGCTCGCGAACCATCGCGGTTTCGGCCTGACCTGATTCCCCTTTTTACCTTTTCTTCTCGCGATCCGAACGGTGCCTTTCTATTCCGCGATATCATTGTGCGATAACATGTTAAATGAAGTTTCCGATAGTCGATAGGAACCCTTCGGTTTAATTTGCGGCTCCCAGATATTTCGGTCGAAATATGCTGCGAGGCGAGATCGCTGTGTAAAAATCGATGTTTCTTCCTGCGACATTCAGGCGCTCGAATAATTGCTGTCGGTTGGTTCGCTGTATAAATCTAAAGAAAAAAAGAAACGAAAAAAAGAAAGGAGATCAATAGCCTCGCAGAGCGAAAAACCATCTGCGAACGTTTGTACGGTCTTTAAACGAAAGCCGTTGTTTCTTGCCGCTCGCAATGATGTCTGACGATCTCGCCGGGCGAAGAAGTACTCGCCACTCACTCAAAGTTCGTTCTTCTCTCCACTTTCATTGGCATGTGTATCTCTCTTTCATCGCAGATGCGAGTGCACGGATCGTTCCTGCCGGCACACAGCCTGCGGCGTTGGTACCCGTCGCCGCGCAGCTCCACACTCCTCTTCTCCTGTCTCTTCCACGCAGCTGCAGCTGCAGCTGCAACAAGCGCAGCAGCGGCAGCCGTGCGGGTGCGCCGACGAGAGATTAAGCTGCGCTCACACAGGCGGCGGCGAGGCGCCGTGCGAGTGCGAGTGTGGCGAGGAAGCGAAGCCGTGTCCGCACACGGTCAAAACGCGGCGGACGCGTCGCACGTGCGACTGCAGTTGCAGCGGCACGCAGCCTTGCGGCCACAAGCCGCAGCCTGAAGGTCGCATCAAGCGGGTGAAGTGCCGCGTGAGGCGCGCCGGCTGCGCGATGGCCCGATGCACCGCCGAGCTCGCGATGCTGCACCTGCACTGGGAGCTCGCCACCGAATGTGCGCCCTGCAGGCCGCGCGCGCTCACGCGCCGGCTCTGCAGGAGGCAACAGAGCGACAACGAGCTCTACCGCAGCAACAGCTTCAAGTTCGAGCGTTTCGAGAGAACCAAGGACGAGTGCGTCACGCCGCTCCGCAAACAAGTGAGTACGCTCTGCGCTGCCTCGCTCGCGTAATCAGGCCTCACTTCGCGCGACCTTTCTTCCTGTGAAAGTATGTGCTTAATGGGGGATGCGTTTCGTGCGTTGCTTCTCATTGAATACGAGGAGGTACGGGATAACAGAGAGAGGAGAGAGATCAAACCCATGTACGGAGGATAAACGAAATGAAGCGTTACGAATTTTTATTTCCGAAAATATTGTCTCCGGAGGGAATTGTCTTGAACAAAAGTTGCAGAGAGAGAGAGAGAGAGAGAGAGAGAGAATATCCAAAGGCACTCTAATATCTTCAACTCTTGTATCTATAATAATATCTTTAACCCTTTAACGCTTACTGGTACTATAGTTACCAGAAACGCATTTAAGAATCCATAACTTGGTCAAAAAAGGAGATATTTTCGTTTTCTTTGCACCACTGTAAAGGGTAAATTCTTCTTCTAAAAAATGGTATATAGATTGTATGTAGGTTCGGTTCAGTCTGTTTTTAGCTCAGTTTTAATGATAACATGTTTTGTCAAATTCCAAGTAGGCATAGTTAGGCATTGTTATTGACATCTAGAAGTGCATTGTAAATGAATAGATTGGTATCTGTTATAATTTTATACATTTAGAAGCTTTCTCAGATGCAAAATGTGAAATTAAAAGAGTACAGAAATTCAAAACGGCGAATCCAATATGGTGGACACGAAAATCAAGAAATCAAGCTATTTTCGTGAAACCTGGTGACCTACAGTTTTTTATGCGACGAAAAATGAAGGGACGATTGATCGTATCTAAATGGTGATCTATAAGATATTTTTCTGAAATAGTAAGCTTGACGCTCTGAATGATAAACTTCACTCATAAATATAGTAAAGCTTCAGCTCAAAAATGTCAAGTTGACTATCAGAGTTATGTCATATAGATTACCTTTCATTTTTCTCTGTATAAGTTACTTATTTCCTATATGCTTTTGGGATCCAAGTCATATTTACCAATAAACAAAAAACGAACGATAAAAAAACCAAACTAATGAAACCAATAAACGAAAAGCGGAAATTTCATGTACTCATTTATTATATTCCATTCCGGGTAAATAAAGATTAAGTTCTGAATATGAGTTTTATGTTTCGACGGATTTTTCCAACCATTAGATATAAAATTATTAAAACATATTAACATATATAACATATTAACATATATAACATATTAACATATATAACATATTAAAAAATGATATAAAATTATTAAAACTAAAAAAAAAAATATTTAACCGATCAGGTGTATTTTTCGCTTCTGGGAGTAGTTTCTGCTTGGAAAGGTAGTTTTTCGTAGATATAAAATTCTGATATTTTTTTTGGTTATCACTACTTATAGTCTCAGTTCAAAAAAACTCAAATTTTATTCTTAAAACACTTATAAAAGTCGGGCGTTAAAGGGTTAAAACAATTTTCTTCGGAAACAATATTTTTGGAAATATAAAAGACAGTTACATTTTCTTCTCACCGTCCACACAGGCATGTCGATGGGAATTAAAGTTGAACCATGATCGAATACCTGTGATACAGGCTACCCTTTTCAGGTGTAATCTCTGCGGTCTTTTAAAATGCGCTCAGTCTATCTACGGCATGTAAGTCTACAGGAACAAGGAACATACTGTAGAGAAAAAGCAGAAATCTATTCGCTACCAATTTAGGAAAGCATGAGTCACGTGGTATGTGTGTCGACACGTTGAACGTCGTGGAACGACGACTTCGACGAGACGCGCGTCGCATATATTTGTCGTACATGAATAAAATACAAGCCGGGAAATTATTAGGACTGCGCAAATATTATCAGAACTAGGCAAATATTAACGACAGGGAGTGTACGACATGTAACGAACCTGATGCGCGAACAAAAGCTCCGTTTATTAACTGTGGCGATGAATATGCAACTTTTACGTAGGCTTTTGCGAAGTTAATCAAATCGCGCACGGCGTATTCAGCGTGTTAACACGAGAGGCCGGACTCTCTCTTTGAACTGCAGCCCGCGCGAAATGATAGAGATTATTTGCATAACGGAGCCGAGTGTGTAGAGCAACTGCTGCTGCGGAGAGTCGCGGAAAGTTCGCCGTCGTTTTACTCGGGTTACTTTTTAAACAGTGCACGACACTGTAATGGGAAGGGGCGAGTAAAGATTCATACGGCGACTCGTGCGAGCGTCGTAACTTCAGAATCCCACTTTTTCGTCTCTGTATATATTCCACCTCAATAGTACCTCAAAGTCCAACAGCCTCTGGAGAACCGAGGAGAAGTGCCCGTGCTCCACTTCGTGTGCAGGTAAGTCTTTCAAAGTTTGATGGCACGGAACGAAGCAGCTATATACGCACCGAGCGGAATATTTTTTACGAAATATCAAAGCGACGCTCTCTCGTTCACGGTCTTTGTGTAACATTGGGGAAATAATAGGAATGATATTGAGCGTTTGTGCACACTGGGCGTGGTAAATTGTCATCGCTGTAAATTTAAGCATCGTTCGGTCGCACAGGTCGTGACTCTTCGATCGATCAAATCACGAGATGCAACTCTGCCAGTCAACGTCGAGTAGAATTTAGTGAAAACTTGGAGAAAAAAACTAGCGAAGAAAAACTTTGGCACGGAGGAAAAAATGGCGTATTTTCTCAAAGTTCCATAATACCGATCTGAAAAAGAACAAAGCGAAGAAGCTCGCGATTCTTGTGAAAGCTGGATTTTAATGGATTTTAGTGTCGCGGGTCGCGCGCGCAGCTATTCTACATCGGGCGAGATTCTCAGAGACACTTCCTTGAAAAGAATATTTAAATCGAGAGGATGCGGAGTTACAGTTCGCCGAGCTTACGAATGCGAACGTCAGGCTTTCCCGGTAATTTCGTTTTCGCGAATTTTCCCGGCAGATCTCTAGTGGAAACGCGACGGGGAAATTTCGTTGAAACGGTGTCAGAATTCGCGGTATCAGAATGAAGTAAATCCAGCAGAGAATTGTAAGAGCCACTTTAAATTTGAAATATTAAGTACGAATGGAACTCACACCCACACACACACACACACACAAGCGTAGATACTTGGGCCTCGTACTCAAGTCAACGTCACGACTCGGTAACAATATTTCTCGCGACATGATTAAGTTATCCAAGGCCAGACAGATGGAGATCGAATAAGCATCCTTCATATCGCACTTCTCCCCCCCGTAATAGTCGCGAAGACACCACGGGGCAATGCAGGCTCTTCATGATTTACAGAGCTCATGATTTACAGTTTCGGGCCCATTTGAACCCATTTACGCGGTTGTTATCTCCGACCATAGGTCGGAAACGCGAAATGACCTTGTGTCTCTATAACGTGGCCACCTCTAGACCGGACTGCTCTTAGTGGTGGAAGCAAACTTTATAGTCGTTACACACATAGCCGTTAATCGTGAAACCACCAACCAGAGACTACACCTGTTACGCGTACGCGTACGTGCGTATGCACGAGAATATTGTGTGTAATTGCATTTCTCACATAACATTGCGTAAAGAGAGAAACTTTTGAATGAAAATGTAACGGGCATAATCTGCCGTACATTCAACGGTAACGAAGTAGTAGAAGTTAATTTGCGTCAGATATTAACAGTCGCTTGCTGTCACAATTTTATTTACATGCCTCCCATGTGTAGCGAGCATGTTTTTCGCTGTAAATTAAATCGAAAATATTATTCTATAAATTTTGTTTTATTATATCTGATTAAAATAATATATTTTTCCATAATTACATATCACACACACACATATATATATATATATACGTAATTTAAATCAAACACATCATTCTAGTCCTCGATATTTCATATTAATCAGGATAATTTCCCCATTACTGGAGTTTTAAGTAAAACGGAAATATCTAAATAAATTTAACTTGTTCCATGAGTTAGTTTCGCGTGCGCGTAAATTATCCTTAACGTCACGAAATATCCTGCAACATTTTGTATTCTCGAATGAGATTCTCTCTGAATCGTGCGATAGCGTTATTATATATCGAAAGGAACTAGGAACTTCCGTTGCAACATCTAACGATCGTATATAATCGTTACACGAAATGAGCCAGAGGCCCCGTGGAATCGTTTTCGCGAAAATTACGCCTTAGTGGTTTAATGGAGTATGTGTAGCAAGGTGTAGGAAAGGACCAGAAGTGAAGTGTAATAAGATTATCAATATACGAAATCCCCTTATTTCAAGTACGTGCGCGTACAGCAAGAGAATGGCAGAATAAGAAATGCATTTTCTCACGGCTTACTTGTCGAGATGTTCAATATCGAGATTCAAAAATTGTCCAAGAAAAATATCTTATAAAATTCGTCGCGTGGAACGTAGAGTCTCTCGATCCCCGTAGAGTCTATTCTTGAGTATTCTTGTTCACAAATTTTGAAGCTTCCCCTCGTTGGCGTTATTATCAACGATATCAGCTCTTTCTCTCGAGCCGAAATCCGTCATTTTGCAGTTATCCTGGTAAAATTGAGTTGTCGCAACGGCGGTCCTCGACAACCACAATTTCAACAACCACAAGGTCAATCTGCGGGTCTGAAAGGAGACATGAAAGCGAGGTCGTGAGATGAGTAAGAAAAGAGAATGAGATAAAGAGTAGAAAGATGGAGGAAAAAGGGGGCAACGCGACGCGATGTCGAATTGATCGCGAATAGAGGAGAGGCTTGGTCGCGTTTGAAGCTTTTAGCTTCGTTGGAGCTCGGTCACGATATTTTTTGAAAGAGCCTCGCCGACCGACGTTTATATGGTGTGGATTTAATAAATGATTCAATTGAAATGGAAGATGCAAAGGAATACCCGACTAATCGGAATATCCTCGTGCAAACATTGTAAGAAAGTTCTATTTAATCTCTCGTTCTTGAGAAATCCCTTCGACTTAATCAACGGCGTAACATTTATTTGAATTATTCGCATCAGAAGATTATCCACTCTGAATTAGATTCGCTACGGTCGTTTGCAGGATTTTTCGAATAATGCAACGTTTTGTATTTAGCCGAGTAATTATCGTGGGTCGCAATGTCGCGCGAATTGCGCGCGATTATTTTTGACGCGATTATAAATACCGCGTGATTATAAGTACCTTACGTGGTACAAAGCAGAATAATTCTCTCTTTCGCTCGCGTACTTGCTCATATATATATATATATATATATATATCACATATAATTCTGTAATTTCATGGAAAAACTCCTCTAAAACTGGCGAGTTTATAAGCTCTGCAGCTATAGAAGTTTATACATGTCCATTCGAGTAATTCAGTCGAGAGGGGGAGAGGAAAGGAGGACTCGGTCTTCTTCGTACGTACACAAGTACGAAGATATCGCACATGTAGGTATTTTACTTTGGTTGAATAATAATAAATAATCAGCGTAATAAATAATCACTGAGCCCGCGTCAAGGACCGTAAAGTGTCACTCGGGAATATCTAAACGTGATACGTTGAGACCGTTTGCAAAATTTGTCACGTAACTGGAGCGGGAAGTATCGATCTGTGCAAGAAATTAACTCGTAAAAATTTAACAACGCGCGCGCGCGCACGCGCGAAGATATCGTTACAGCGAAGCAGCACCGTCGAAACTAACAAAGTTATTCCGTATGAAACGATGAAGAATACTTCCGTCGGGTTTTCGACGGTATTCTATCTGAGTTGAGCTCTAACTAAGCTCTCAATACGATGAGAAAACTCCGTTTGTTTAAAGACGATGCGTGTACAGTCAGTGATGCGGTCTCTCTTGTTGAAAATGAACAACTATCAGGTCCTTTTATGCCTTGAGTAAATCACTGAAGAAGGATAAAACAAAATTGAGGCAAACGAGCCTCATGGAGACGCGGCGAAGACGGAAATGAAATTTCATCAGCAATGTAAATACAGGCGGCAGAATGAAATTCGGCGCGAGCGATCTGCGCTTGCGTTTCCTTGTCATTTCCTGAGAAACGATTCAGGGCATCGCCTTGCAGACTTTGTTTCGTTGCTATATTTGAAAGAAATCTCTAACGTTTATTATTAGTTACTCTCCACCCCTCGCGATCCCTCACTTCTCCCTTCCTCCCCCTCTCTCTCTCTCTCTCTCTCTCTCTCTCTCTCCCCCTCTCTCTCTCTCTCTCTCTCTCTCTCTCTCTCTCTCTCTGTTTCGTATAGAAATGTAATAAAGTTTGTCTATATTTTCAAACCATTTTCCTTCGATGAAGCGGCGCGCGTACGCGAAAAGTTTTCCTCTTGCTCTCGCTTGTTTTCTCACCGTTTCATAAATCTCGAAGGCACGTGCGCCTAGTTTCTCAAGAAACCGATATTAGTCGGTTCCCCTCTTTCTCTCTTTACGACGTATTAAAGTTGCAGAGAATCGATAGGCGTTGCGGAGGTAATAGATCTTAATGACGCACTAATCAATGAAACGCCATTAACGAGCGTGTTTTATCTGGGACCGCGTTGCGCGTCAGATGGACGCTCCATCTGATCGTGACCAAAGTCGAGGATCTGATCGTGACTGTCAATTATAATTAAAATGTTCGTATCGATCGTTTCCGCTCTGCCAAGTGTCACCGGAAATGAGAGCAACACGTGAGCGCAGTGCGGTCACGGTGTATTGATTTCGCGGCAGGGTCCTATCCAATCTCTTATACTATCCGAGATCGTACTATACTAAAAGTAACCTCTGTATCTATTTTATGATAGCGATAGACACACTACTTGATGTATTATAATTCTCCGCTACCGCTGTATGTGCGCTACCTTTTTAGTCGAATTAAATTCGTCAGCGACTCTCTCTCTCTCTCTCTCTCTCTCTGCGCGCGCGGACGAATCGCTTCATATCGCTGAGATGTAATTACTACTATAATTGCACACTTAAAATAATTTATGTTCCCGTAATATAGAACGTATTATTAAAATGGGCTTGCTGTTACTTAAGAAAATCGCCGTCGCGACGTAGCAACGAGCAGCGAGAAGCGCACGTCAGAAATAACTTCTCCACGAGTCCCGCGTTCTTTTAAATTCTACCACGAGAATAGACAGCTTGGTGTTCTCTTCACTGGGATAAGATTTTTGCGCTATCAACCCGCCGCGAAGACACCAAAGTCGAGGATCTGAGTAAAATACGGATTTCTGGGCATCGCCGGCTCTTCTTATTAGAGCGCAATCGTTCCGCGTCCAAAGACTCATTGATTATTCAGTCCGAGAGTAATCTATAGTTTGTAAAACGGAAATAACGGGAGTAAAAGGAGCGGACAATTTCTATGGGAGAATTTTAACTCCCCTCCGACGTAAGATCATTAAGTGAGATGATCTGAAGCCGCTCTTCATTATCCGACTTTTTACAGCCGAGCGGAGCGCTGCTTTTCATTAACGGAACTTTTACAATTCAGCGATTAAATCCCGGTTAAGTTGTGAGACGGAATTTACGCGCAGTTTCGATCCATAGCTTCCTCCGAATGCCATTGATTCATTCTAAGCAAACTACGGCCAACTGCGTTCTAATCTGCTCCTAATTAATCCACCACGTGGATACGTAACTGCATCAACTTGAGTAAGGAAACTCGAAAGGTTATAGTGAGCGAGATGGGAAGTGATTATCCTTTGGTATTTTTTATTACATCGAAAAATGTACAAAATCGTAAGATTATTTTTTTGTACAGCCGTTGTCCCATCTTGTTGCGATGTCTCACCTGAAAATGTCGAAATTTCGAAAATCAGTCGTAAAAAAATTACAAATCGCGCGCGCATAAAATAAAAAAATAGAGTACCGTTTGGAGCCGGGAGCGGGTAGGACTGATTTAATCGAGATGAGCATTGATCCAGTCAAGATGACTTTCGACTCGCGTGTAGACAGTGGGGTAGTTAGTGCTGGCACAGCCGTACGCCCAGGATACGAGACCGACGAGTTTGCCACCAACAGTCAACGGACCGCCGGAGTCGCCCTGCGGGAAGCAAAGCGATTTCAGATCTCACAGATGCGCGAAAAATTACATCGTCGCGTGACGGTTGTGTCAGTGACACGCGATTTGCACTTTGCAAATCTCGTGCTTTCATTATCACGTGGACGCGAGAGAGTGGGTGAAGGGTGAAGGAAACTTACGTTGCAGGATCCCTTCTCGGTGTCCGGGTCGTACGCGCAAACCTGCGAGAGATGGACGTTGTATCCCATGCTGTTATATTTTTGTCTGCAGTAGTCCTGGTCAGCAATGAGGATATTGACTCTTTGCAGCTTCTTAGTAGTCGGTCCATTTTGCTATAATTTCGTAACATATGCATATAATGTTCGCTCTCGGATAAATATTGACGCGATCGACGAATGCAAAACGTCACACGCACAATTAATTATTAATCGCGTCTATTCGATTTTGTACACTTTCGACACGAAAGATGCAGATTGAAGATGAAATACTCACCCAGAGTCTGCCCCATCCGGAAACAACAGCTAAGTCGTTGCCTTTCACAACGTGACCCTTCGGTGGCAGAGTAACGTAGCCGACTTGCGTAGACTTGACGAATGGATTTCCCACCTGAAGCACAATATGTCGATGTGAATACTTTTCGCTCGAGGGAACGTTATAAAATTCGATGCAATTTTCCCGCGCGCACAGAGAAATTTATGCGAACATTCATATGCGATCTCACCCTCAATATAGCGATGTCGTTGATCCAAGAATTAGCAGCATTATATTTCTCGTGAGCGGTAATCCGTATGACTTCATGTGTCGATTTCGGGTCTTGCAAATCGATAGTACCAGCGACTACCTTTATGTTGTTAGGACTTTTGCTGTAATATAAAAATTTTATTGTTTAAATTTAGACGTCTATTTAAACATATATTACGATGATTTGATATAAATAAGATTTAATGTAACAACAAAATTTCTTTCAGCGTGTTAACATAATGTTATTAATCAACAATACCAGACGGTTATGTAATAAGACAGATATAAAACAGTAATAATAACATACCCAGCAATGCAGTGAGCTGCCGTGATAACATGATTTTCGTCGAGAATTGATCCGCCGCAGAAGTGGAAATTGGAATGTTTGTCTTGCAAGGAAATCTGTCGGGAAAATGATATTTTAGTGTATTGTTATGATCGCGTATTGTGGAATTTTAGCATAATTTTACAATAGTATTACGATTAAAATTAATCTTACAATCGTTGGAGAGGCAGAGTTTATATTACTTAATTTCTTCAGAGTTTCTTACTTAATTAATGAATAAATCTTTCGTCAACATATACCTGATAGGGGATCTCGCCGAATTTTGCATCTACTCCATTTACGATCCTAGAATCGAAGAGTGGTTCGATAATCCTGGCTGCAAAGACAAAACGACGTTGATGTTACCATTAATGTTATTATCACACGAGAAATGAAATTTAATGAATTTGTGTGGATTGTGTGGAAATTGAAATCGTAATAGCTAATAATTTATTCTTTTCACATGTATACGCTTTAATTGTAAATCGATAAATTCCATGCGTTAACGCAGCCCTTTGACAAAGTTGAAAATTATAAAATATAGTTTCGCTATTGATTCAGTTAAATTTGTATTTAATAACTGACTTTAGAGTGCCGACATACATAGATAAATCGTGACAAAAGTGATTTGTTCAGATAATATAATATGCTGAAATGAATTCTCTTTCGCTTAAGCTACCCTTAAGGTACAGCAGCCTGTGCCAATTTGTATTCATTTAAATGAACACTTGTCAATGTTAAACGAATGGTTATCGATTTGTCGGAGGAGGTAATCACTCACCCTGCGAGAGCGCGAGGAGGCTGAGGAGAGACAAGATTGTCAACGCCATTGTGTGATTGTGTGATCACTGTCGCAGCCGTATTGGCACAGTGAATTTATATACTTACACGCCGAACGCTTCCGTAAATGGTAAACCAATGATCGATAAGATTTTTTCACTAATTCGCGATTAGATAAATTGATAATGAAGAACTACACCGTGTGTCTCGTAATCAAAAGTGATAAGGATTGTTAAAATTGATCGATTTACGATAAGAATATAATATTAATACATCAAGATTTTACCTGAAATTTCTTAATCATGACATCGTTGATTCCGAGAAATTTCATTTTTACAGTCCTCTCGCAAAAGTATCCAAATTAATAATAATTATATTTAACGCATCTCTTTATTGTATATTTTTCATCTTTTATAATTTAAAACATTTTTCACGTGTGTAACATTGCAACTCGGATGTGTTTCTATACTTATGATTGGAGTAACTAAATTAAGAAATAACGAACCTCTATTTATTATTGTAAACTTCATTTTTTATGATTAATATATCGTTCATGTATCTTAATCAGAATGTGCATATTTTGTACTCATAATGGAAGTAATCGAATTAAACAAATATTAATACAAAGTCTACTTTATACATAAAAAGTCTTTAGAGTATACAAATATAGGATAAGGATAGATCTAATCTGTCACAGATTCTTCTGTCGACTTCTCAAATACGTTATCTCTTTCATCATATGATCATTACAAAAGTGCGTTCTATCAAGTGCTGACTTTTGCCTCATTAAAATGATAAGCGAGATTTGGGTTTTCCCATATCTTTTAATCTCGTTTTATGAACCTCCGACGCGTTCAGAGAATAATACATTCTCGGGATCGATATTATTAGTAGCATCGTCATTCTTGCATTTAACACAGTTTATCATTTAATTAAATATATAACCAGATTGTATTGCTTCAAAACAATCCTGGAAATATTGATTTCGATTTTTACGGTCGCTGATATATTTAATACATACATACGTATAATAGTTTAGTAGTGATATTTTTTAATATATTTTTTGCCGAAAACTGCATAATTTTTTTATCATATGGAATCTGTTATGTTGAGGAATATGTTAATTAAAAATTGTCGAAGGTTTTTAATGTTAAATTTGCTTAAAATTCTCATTTCGTATAAGCTTTCGCATGCGCACATGAGTGTGAATTTCATTGTTTCATGGCGAATGAGTGATATTATCAGAAAATAATATTTTTTTAAAATCTGATATTACGAAATAATTATTCTGATGAATCTTTTCGTCATGCGCACTAAACTTAAATTACGTGTTGTCAAGAAATTCACGTTTGATGTGTCAATTTTGACCACGACATATCGTGTTTCACGGAACTCGAAGTTTCGACTACTTCAGTGCTCCGCAATTTTTACGTTTTTCATCACGAAATCCTGATAGACCATTAAATAGAGAGAAACAGAGAAAGAGAGAGAGAGAGAGAGAGAGAGCGAGAGAGGTGCAAGGAGGTGATCGATCGATCGCCCAAGAACGGCCGTAGAGAAGCAATGTTTCAGAATCCACCTGAGACCAGCGATCTCGCGCTCTGACCACATAATTGGCTGTATAAATGATCAAAGGTTTGTCTATGCAAATCAGCAGATTTTACGTATACATTTTACTGTCTCATAATCGAGATCATCTATATTATGCTAAATTTCGCGGAGGCATGAAGTAGCTTTCACGCAAGCGGTGCGCAAAACTTTTTAACTTTCCGACGAGTTTATAATAAAATAGTTAATAAATGGTACAATTTGTGAAATTTTTAAACCATGGATAGTCTCGTGTCTAGACGTCGTTCTAGCCTGATCTGTTATATATTGTATAACTCAAATTCTTAAAATATTTATCTTAGAATTTCTTGTTTATTCTTCGATGATTTGGTTCGCATAAATATTAAATATGTCTAACTTGATAAATATTATAAGTTTCATGCATGTCAAATACCACCAAATATTTAAATTGTATGAATAGCTTATTAGGCGTACTTGATAAAAATTATCAAACTTCCCATTGAGAGTTAGAAAGATCCATATGTTCGATAATTAAATTCTCGTTTATCATTCATCGTTGTTGACAATACAATTTCAGCGTGAAGTTTCTGTCCTTACATCACAAGTATTTATTTATATCATAGAATTTACATTTAATCAGAATGTTATTTATTAGATGGCAGTCGTGTTTGTCAATCGTCTGATAGAAATATTTGGTCGGGCCGAAAAATATGCCAGATTATCTTTGAGAGACATCATCCTCTCTCTCTGTTTAACAACATATACTTGAAGTATATCGATACGTATCGAAAATGAATCTCTTAATTATAAAATGCTTAGATATATATAGCAGGTGCGTTATTAAGTTATGTAATTTTATTCCTTGTAATCTCTTTAATCTCTCTGTGTCAGGCTGTCTTCTCGGAACGTTATGTTACGTTATGTTACAAGATTTTGCACTTTCCTTATGAAGGATCGTTCTTTAATAAGTCGGGTTCGTTAAACGCGAATACGACCTGAAAAAGTGTCTGTTATATCATGATTGCGAAAAAATAGAGTTTTGAATTCCCAAAAAACGCGTTTTCGGCCATTTTTATAAACTCGTAACGCATGAATAAGATCTTTTGTCTTTATTTTAAGAAGTCGGAAACGTAAAATACAATTTTGTGAAAACTACCCTCACAGAAGGACGAAGTGCAACTGTCACAAATTTTTACAACAAAATAGAAAAATTATGTCTCTCACCGAATAAATGTTGAAGTAAATTCTTATTAGGGACAGACTTACGAAATGATAAAAATTGTTGAAAAATATTCATCCATGTCGCACATATCATCTGTGAAATTGCAGAAACAACCTAAGACTAAAAAAATTCTTTACCCCGCAGAATGGGATTTTGATTGTGAAATGTATTTTTTATGGGCGTAAAACTTTACTTTCTCGGAAATCTAGCGTGATAGTTTATGAGGCCATATTTATATTCGGCGCATCTGATTTACTAACGAACGAGTCTTCGTGATAAAAGTGCAAGAAATTGGTTAACATTTGTAACATAGTGTCATTAGTAAAAATATGTAGATAATGATGATAAATGCATTCTAATTACAGCAATATGAGCTGTATATGTCGGGAAGTGAAATAGAGTAAATATACAGAGGTGCGTTGTACGGAAGGAAGAAAATTGTATTATTGTGTCAATTTATTCGTTTAGACTCCGCAATGTAAATTTTCATTTCGCATATACTCAGGCGCAGAAACACATTAACGGACGTATCTCGTTTGCGCGAAACGATTTATTTTCTTATGTCGGCGAAGTTTGCAGTCGCATGTATTATTCAAGAGCACCTCTTTTTGAATATCGGTTGTCGCGCGACCACAGATGGAATAAAAGGGTCAAAGGTTGTCCGAGAGAACAACGAGCGCGCTTTCTGCGCGCGCGTTCAAGGGAACCTGAGAATAGAGTTTTTCCTTTCGCGCGTAAAATCGCCAAGTTCTCAAACAAAGCGTGCGCTCTCAAAGAATATGGAGATTTATGTGAATGAGGCGAAATGAGAGAATGAGAGAGAAAGAGAGCGGGAGAGAAGGGAGAAACAGAAAAAAGTGGTATAACAACACTGTACGTATTTCCGGCGCGTTATAATATTATAATATTATTTGTACTAGAAACCTGTTTATACACATACATAAAATTCATGTTATATAAGCGCACGAATTAAATTATCATTAGAAACATCGTAATGGTCTATTATATTTTACATGTATTCGTTGCGCGGCTATACATTTTGTACACTTTCATCGATATTCGCACCGCGTATGCGAATAGAACACACATTCCCGAAAGATAAAGCGATAAATATCGACATAATGAACTTTGCATATTTCATGAAAATGGGAGGCGCCACAAAAAGTCACGGTTTGTTTCAATGTATTGCTTCGCCGCGTGGATCCACAAAGGGACGCAATTAAGATTGCGTCGGAGATCGTTGCTATAATTACAGCGCGATAAATACGCTTATCAACCGTCAGAACGGCGCGTCTTAGTCGTGGATAAATTAACTTGACATTATTTCGTGATTTATCAAAGTACAAAGTTGAACAGCGTACTCAAATTCGAGTGATCGACAGGACAGCGGACGGCGCATAGAAAAACATAAGCAGTGAGCAAATCAACCAATCATACATGAAACGTAAACTATGATCGACTCGCTTACTCCTTACGTTTTATTGTTTGCGTTATTCTGCCCGCCATGACCCCGAATGCTCGGAACGCGCACCGTTCTACCGCTCTTGCTCCACTCGTTCTCGGCTCGTCGTCGGAAAAATAACGGCAGAGCGCCAGTGTTACGACGCTACGCGCATGACCCGCCGCGATAAAAGAGCATCGATTGCCAGTTTGTGTAAGGTCTCTGATCCGCGACTCTGTCTCGCGTCGATGCCACTAATTAGCGCTTGGCATCATGGCCGTAATTTTATTTCATGTACGGTTTTGACACGGTGCATACATACGGTGTCCTTCTCGCATTTCATTCCGTACTCGGCGAAACGAATCTCAAGCCCGTGAGATTGAATTTTTTCTTCATTAAAAGCACAAGGACACGCCATTAAGTGTGATCATTAAGTGACGATCTTAAAAGTGATATTTCACGTCTGTTTTTGAGAGAGAGAGAGAGAGAGAGAGAGAGAGAGAGAGAGAATTGCTCCCTCGTGACCGTGTTTCTATTTTAATATGAAAATAAAGTGCAATTTTTTTAAACAATTTTTAAATAAATAATGCGTCAATGATTGCTCGAAACGTGTGGATTGACAAGCCAAGCTGTATTCGATATTGTTAAATGTGGTCTATTTGTAATTTTTCGCGTTTTCCAACAGCGAAAATTTGTGCTTTTGAGATCCGGAGGATCTTCTCGGTCGCATTTTTGATTTTGTTGATCAATACTACGCCGTTTAAAAATACGCAAAGGAACGCTGGTTGGCTCGCTTGAACTACTCCGGTAAATGAAGAAAATGTCAAGTTGTGTACTTTCGATCGAGTTACATCGTTTCTTTCGGCATTATATTCGGCGAGTTTGATTAATATTGATGCTCGATAAATTTATTAGTATTTACCGCGACTGTGCTATGTATATTTTTTAAACTAACAAAACGTTAATCTTGCAGCGGCACGGCGCGCGAGCAAAAAAATAATAGAAGAGTTCGCGTCAGATCAACAAGTATTTATTTCTTCACGCAGAAGTCCTGGCCGGCGAATCTCGCGTTCGCGCTCGACCGAAGATATATTGTTTACAACGAATGGACGTTTCGCCGGATAATATGCGACACTGGAGCTCTCTTATTGTAGTTCGCACTGACGGCTGTCGGGGCGAACGATGCTTTTTAATGGCTCGCGAAAAATTATGAAACGCCGCTCGTAATGTAAGCAGCATTGTAATGTTGTGTAACGCCTCCGTAATTAGTCAAACGCAAATTACGTCTGGCGCATTCACGGTAAGTTAATATCGCCACGAGGGTAAGTTAATTACCGTCAGGACCGTCGGCTGGATTATACGAATAATCATGACCGCGTGTATGACAGCTAATCGTATAAACGAATTACGGTAGGAAGTACGAGAAACGTTGCTTCGGTGAAACGGTGGATTCAATTATTCACACTGTAACGCCAACTTTTTCTTTGCATTCGACGGCAGAAACATTTTTGCAACAGACACGAGAATCGCTCATTCTTACGTTCTTCTCAGATAATCACTTGGGAAGATTACGAACGTATTCTCTTATGTGACGAACGAGATGTATTTTTCTCAGACATATACTTTTATTATTATCTTGATGTGTAGAGAGATATTTTTTAAACCTAACCAATGTGTAACAATCATTTCAATCTCCGATTGATTTGGAAATGTTCTACTCACTTATCTAAATTTTTTTAGCGTGGTGCATCATTTCTGTTTATTTATAAAATTTCTTTAAAGAGTTTGTGAGATCATCGTAACTGCAACACGTTTAGAGCGTACGATCAATGCTAATTATAAATGACACTTGTGCATTACTTATTTTTGTTTTTATAACATTGTTTCTAACACAAATATTAACATTGTATCTTTGTCCTGCTCGGTTAAACATGTACATAACGTGTTTTCGCAATTTTCGTGATAATGGTTGCATGGTGAAGCAAGTATTACTGATGACATTAGTTACATGAGTTTTTATAAATATCGAGCGAATTATATATAGGATATTTTTCTTGATCCAGTCGATGTACGAAGGAACACGAATGTACACATACACAGTAGGAAAGTCGTGAGAATCAGCACGAGCAACCGCCTATGATACAATTCTGACGAGTTTTCCATAACGGTCAAGGGACCGCCCGAGTCGTCCTGCAAAACAAAATAAAAGTGTTCCATATTTTTTTTCCTAAAAAAAGCATTACTGACTCGTGCATGCATAAAACGAGTTAAATTCTCGCGTAACACTTGTAAAACAATATAGCTGTGTTTCCTTGCAAATCTCTCTCTCTCTCTCTCTCTGTCTCTCTCTCTCTCTCTCTCTTTCTCAAATCGTGGCGTAAATATTAATTTTAACCATCCATCAGATACTGATTTCATTTCCTGGACTCTGTATCGCTTATCATTCTGACAAATTGCTAATCATACTGGTGGAATTACCTAAGTTGCTAAATATAGATCTTATCATTTCTGCATTTCGCTCTTGTAGCTTCACCGAGATTGCTTCGAGTAATTTAATATATGTGATGTGGCCGTTGTTGCAATATATGTAACCATCGCATTTGGTTTCAAGCGCTTGCTATTAAAGGGGAACAGATAGCGAATACAACGTATATTGATAATACTGAATGTATTTCAAGATAAAAGAATTTTCTTAGATCGTCAATAGAGTCGGAATGTCACCTGGATACCTAGTTTTCTCGCGTTGTCCCCGATAAGCCCGATGTTTACGGGAATGCTTAATCATTGCAATTACAAGTATCGTTCACGAAGGCGATAAGTACACTACCGAGTGCCGACTTTCTTTTCGAGAGAACAAGTGCAAAGATCACTCTGCGTTTCCAAAGTTGATTCATCCGCTTCTTAGTGGTAGAGCAGTAGATAACGAGTATTGTGTATTTTTCTCAAGTTTGCGTTGCAGGGGAAATCTTGATCAGAAGCTTCGCCATACGTTTTCGAGTGTGCTGAAGAAAGCAGCGTTTTCGAAATTTCACGTAGATCTTCAACGGCTACACCCGTCACGGTGCGATGGGCGAATTGTACGTTGTTTTTATCCAATTAGGATAAAGTAGCCGTCAGTTAATGTGGCGTATCTCAGGGGGCGTCATAACCCATTACGGAGGCATCTGGTTGAGTGACCTTCCGATCGATGTAGCTGGACGGATGCGAAACTGCATCCAAGGCGACGTTGGCTCGGGTCCAGACACTTCGAAAGTCTTGTACGTGCTGATAATACTGCGAAGGTACGCTTTCTTTTACGATGCAAAGTTAAACGACGTGCTCTTAAGGCGGTCGCGTGGCGCGTTCTGAATAATTTCATGTTAATTTGGATCTTTAAATTTCTCGTCTCTCTCGTCACGTGATTCTAAAAAAGCCTTCGCGTCACCCTTAAGTGCGTTTCAGCGACGTATAAAGTCCAAAGTTACATTACAGACACAAAATCGAGGCCAATACGATGTATAATTGGTGAGGACTCGTATTAATACTTCATCGTTCGCGCGATATTGATATTCGACGTCCAATTTTCGAATTTCCCATGCAAGGACCGGCGTTTATTGAAAAACTCGTTTCACAGATTGCATATTGCGAACGTATGCGACACGCGATATAAATGAAAATATCTCCGAAAAATTTCCTCCGTGTAGCGAGGTGGAGCTGTACACGGTATTCTGCCGGGAATTTTACCGTGTTGCGGCGAGCAACGTAGTCCCATCAGAGACTACGAGATGCAAGATGTATTACGTGTGCGCTGTGTATGTGTGTGTGTGTGTGTGTGTTTTCGTTGATATCTGAAAATATAAAATTCTATATACATTCCAATTTCCTGTGACGTTTATGAAAGTGGGAGATAATGCTTCTTTATGCAGTAATACGCGAACCAGGATATATATAATATAACCAAGATGTAGAATTATGATTCATGAAGGACGGCAATCACGCCGCATAGAAAAGTGTTCGAAGAAAGATTCTTGCGTCGCAGCCAAGTTTTATAAAGAGTCGGACCCTCGAACTCCTGGAGTAGACGGAAGAGTGCGCCAAGTTCCTCGGTATTTGTACACTTCATTCCGACGAACAGCTTGGCAATGTCGCCGCCGGATTCGGTTGTCCTGGGAACGTCATTCTTCTTTATCACGAAATCTTGACAGACAGCCGCGAGAACGACATCTGGATGCCAAGGTAGGGGTCGATCGATTCTCCCCTACCTAATGGAATGCAGTCTGGCTTATAGTACTTAAGATCAAACTGCCGAGCGATAAGTAGATAATCACGTGCTGAGAGTTTACACGAGAGGATCCTGTACAGGGGTGACCATCGGGGGTCGAGATTTGTTTTCAGATCTGTAGCTTTCGAAACAAAGCAAAATGCGATATCGAGTTGATGGTGCTATATTTAAACGGCATTCCTAGTTCCCCCCCCCCCATCTCGCAAGCAGAAGATGAGCTCGAAGGTTCGCATTCTTTGATCAATAAAATTTTGACCTGGAAGTTCCGCTCTCTATCGTAATATCCTGCCGCAGCAGTTGCGTCGGCGAGATAGGAGGGTCGATCGATCCTGCCGAGCAAGAAGCGATATTGAGAACCGCTGTTCCAGGACTCACCTGCGTCCGACGACCCCACATCCGGAGTTTCTCATCGATCATGCAGGTAGCGAAACAGTTAAACTCACATGTACGATCCTGCGCTCGGCTAGTCGACAAACATAGTCCTGAAACTATACAGAATCCTGAAATTACTCGAATTCATCAATGCAGATTGTATGCGCTAAGGGTAAAAACTTGTCGAGAAACAACATGCGTCTGATTATAAGCTGTAATTACATTTCTGCTATCTCTCTTGAACGTCGGTGGCAACTGTAAAATTTCCGACCGTGAATCATTATTATATTTTATATAAAATCATTTCTTATATACACATTTTTCATTAATACTTTTATTAGTATTTTTATTAACACAATTTTAGTAGGGAGTCGGTTTAGAAAAATTTTAATCTATGACGAATGTTGATGTAACCTATCTATGTGACTCCATATTTTTCACGGATTTTTATCCGTAAGAATATCCGGACTGTTTCTCTTAATTACGCAAAGATAGCAATTATTATGTGCACATACAAGTTGGAGCGTATGCAAGTCACATCCGCGTAACGCGTTTAGGAGAATTAAAGGCGACGTAAATCCGAGCAAACAAACTTGCGAGAACTCCTCGCACCGTAATTCTTAACAATTATACGTACCACCCGAGGGAACAGAAAGTCCCGTAGAAAGCTGCAGCGCGAGGAGGAAATGTAAGAAAATACGTAGCTGCTTTTTCCGGGATTCGGATTATAATTGCGCGTCTCACGTGATAATTGCTTGAAGCGTGCGAGCGTATTATTTCCTACACTATTATTTGCTCATCGATCTCCTCCTTGGATTTGTTTCTTATTCGCATCAAGGTATTTTAGTTTTTAATCTCGTGCACAGACGAGACAATTCGTGCGCAGAGTCTGTGCACGAATTGCGTCGAATTGCGCGGTTCAGCCGGGCGTTTTCACTATCTCTACGACGTCGTAAAAGCGAAGCCTACCGGCGCGATGTGTCGTCCCTCCGCAAACTACTTTTCTATTCAATTCGGATTTGATGCCTGATGAATATCTTTCAACGATGCGTTCGTTAAACTTTTGTCTCTTTCTTCGCGAGCGCAGCCGGTACTCGTTAATCAACACGATTCATTCGTCCGCAAAAGGTCAACCGCAAACACAATATTTCTTTTTTTCTTGGCGATTGTCATTGTCTCGTTAAAGGCAAGCAAGTATGCTAAAGTACTCGATTGTTTTCGTCTATTTCGTATTTCAATATTTGCGACGAGAATTGATTTTTTCTGGTGTACGCGAAATAATAAATATAACAGCGTAAAATAATATTAATAAGCATTTGAACAATGTGATATCCACATGTATCCCGAGAAAATTTACGCCTACATTCGGACATATAATGCGTATTACATGTATTAATTCAATTTCCGCGCGCATTACATTAAAATATTGATTTCAGTCGTTCCGTTAATTATTTCAAGTTATATTATATGCTTTGAAATCCAATTGATGTACGACGGGACGCGTGTGTACACAGCAGGATATTTCGTGTCAGAACAGTGTGCTGACCACGAGACGAGTCCTACGAGTTTTCCATCGACCATCAGAGGCCCGCCGGAATCACCCTGAAAAAGTAAAACGACACAATTTCTTAGTAATTATCCAGGCGTTGCATCGTCAGAGTTTAACCGAAAAGAAACCGAATTTATAGGAGGCAATTTCTTTTACAGTTAATCCGCGCTTCCCCATGATTAAACTGAAAATATATTTTTTATTAATATAAAAAATGTATTTGTTATCTTCGTTATACTTTATTGCGTCTCGTTATCGTCGTCGGCACAAGTTTAATTGCGTTAATACTAAACGTCTCGACGAGCTTGCGTCGTTCAGTCCGTTTTCCTCCCGTCGGCGTCTTGCCGCAAATTATTAAATTAAATCACGGAACGGTGATTAGGGGATGTACGATACTCTCTATTAATAATACCAAATAACTAAACGGCGATGCGGCGATCGATGCGTGATAATCGTCGGGTCGTATACATACGGACGCTTCGTATTTATTTTACTGATAAGGGGAAGAAGGAGAAGATAGTAATCGGCGCGTGTTCAAATGATTGTACTCGTAACAACTGATACAACGTGTACTCCTGATAAATATTTAGGAATAAGCGTGTCAAGGACTATTTAGAGCACGTTGTGCAACTCGAAACACACGCGTTACACGTTGAGACATTGTACTCACAAGTCATTAGGACGGGTAAAGGCGAGTTGAGGTACTTCGCGTGAGAAGAATAGTGCGGGCTAAGTAGTTAACGACTGTACCTGGCCAGACGGCGTAAAATTGCACGTACGACCAACACTAACGACGGCGATACGTTGCAACGTTTTGTAAATAGCTTACCTTGCACGAACCTTTCTCCACGGTAGGGTCATTTGCACAGATTTGCGTGTTGTATATGATCCTTGATCGCTCCTTGTACATAGCTTTGCAGTGAGCTTGATCGGCTATCTTGATGCTCACGATGTGTAATTGTTTCGTCTTTTTTCCATTATGCTGTGAGTAAAAAAAAAAAAATATATATATATATATACAGGGTGCTAAATTTCAAACGTAACAGGTGAAAATCTTGAAAACTATGAAAGATATTAAAAATAGCTAAAACAGGTGTTCCATGATTTCGAAGGGGAAAGAGAATGGCATTATCAGTTTTTTATTCGGAGAGCATTTTCAAGATCAGTTGAAGGTCAACTTTATTTTTTAAAATAGAAAGCCCAATTTTTTATTATATCTTTTTTTTCTACCAATTAATTTGAACAACTTTTGTCTGAAACATTTTTTATTTGTCCAATATTTTTTGAAATATTTAAGGAAAACATGGTAACTTTTTCAACATTTAACTTACGATATCTCGCTAACTATTCGTCGAAAGAAAAAAATAGTATTAGACTGTTTTACTTTATTCTATCTATCAAGAATATATTACTATAATAGTGCCCTAACTTTTGTTAACTTATCGACCATTGGGAATTTAAAAATTATTAAATTAACGAAAATTAGGGCACTATTATAGTAATAGTGGTAGAAAGAGAAGATATAATAAAAAATGGGGCTTTCTATTTTAAAAAATTAAGTTGATCTTCAACTGACCTTGAAAATGCCTTCCACATAAAAAACTGATAATGCCATTCTCTTTCCCTTTCGAAATCATGGAACACGTGTTTTAGCTTTTTTTAATATCTTTCATAGTTTTCGAGATTTTTTACCTGTTACGTTTGAAATTTAGCAGTCTATATATATCATATCACGTAAGGCACGGCGAATCGGTTTAAAAGACGGCTTTCAGAGAAACAATTTGCTGCATTTCTTATAACGCCTCCCCAGGCGTGAATTTATGAGAATCAGGAGAAAATGATTCAATTTTGGAATGACATAAATCGACGACATCCGTTGATCCACGTGATGAGATTTCTTTTTTTCTCGTGGAATTTTGTGGTGAATGTTTATTCACAGTAATATTCTTGCCGACAATACTCGAATTGACAGAGAAAAATTGGACGTATTTGAACATGCACGTATATGTCAATATCCATGAAGAGGTAAACTTTTTAGAGAATTCACCTGTAATCTGCCGTATCCCGATACGACTGCTGTCGCCCCAGCCTTAACGATTTCATCCTGTCGCGGTAATATGACAGGATGTACCAAGAAGGAAAACACGAATGGCGTTTGCACCTGAAAATGCATCTTTTATGTACATTTCTTGCCAAATCGTACTTCGAAGGTCGCTCGATTTGTGTGGATGATGCGTCTATTCTTTGTAATTAATCAACATTACCTTGATCGACATTACCTTAATCAGAGCGATATCGTTAATCCACGAATCTGTACGATTATATTTTTCGTGTATGTAGCTAGACTCGAGGAGATGCGTTGAGAATGGCAGTCGTAAATCAATTGTCCCCACAACTGCCGAGAGAAGTTTGATGTCTTTCCTACAAAGTACGTCGCATTATTTAACATCAGTGTGTGCTTCTTGAAATCTATCTTTTCGCGAAGTTCACGTTCGGAGCATTCCTCATTGTCGCACTTACTCGAACATACAGTGAGCGCAGGTCAGTATGTAGTATTTATTAAGTATAACGCCACCACAGAAGTTATGTTGCGTTTTAATCTTCTGTAGAGATACCTAGGAAAATTAAAGATAAACGTGCACATTACTGGTGCCACCTCCGATATCTTTAATCTTCACATATGTTGTCAAGGACATGGCCCTGAGTAACTTCCGAAAGGTTGTAATGTTGGTTAACTATATTCATAGGTAGAATATTAATTATTAATTAATGTATTGGGTTGGCAACTAAGTGATTGCGGATTTTAAATAAGAATGAAAATTCAAAATTTTAAATTTGCTTTTTTAAATTTTTTTCAATGCATGTATGCGATATATTGAGCTTCTCTGCAATATCACGTGTTGTGCTATGACGATCTGAATCAATAATGGCCTTGATATGGATCTCATCGACTTCAACTGGACGGCCAGATCGTTGAGCATTTTTCAATGAAAAATCACCAGAACGAAATCTGGCAAACCAATTTTGACACTGCCTTTCTTTCAAGGCTTCATTCCCATATACGGCACATAACTTCTTGTGTGCTTGCGATGCGTTCTTGCCTTTTCGGAAATAATACAATAAAATATGTCTCAAGTGCACGTCTTGCTCTTCCATTTTTAAATTGGGATAAAAACAAAACTAAAGAACTAATCGACATAATTTTTGTATTAAATTAAAGGTAGAAGTTCAAACAATAAGAAAAAAATATAGGTTAGGTACTTTGAACACGTTAACGAAACAAAAGAAAGTATACAATCCATCTGTCGACAAAATCCGCAATCACTTAGTTGCCAACCCAATATTATAATTAATTAATTAATATTAATTAATGTATTTAATATGAGCGAGGGAGGGATTCCTTCTCCTTCAAAAGGGAAACCTAATTCTACCCTATGTTATTATAACTTTAGCTTCTAAGCGGATAAACTTTTAATACGATATGCCCATTTTTTCAAACTTTAGTAACATAGCAATCTACATATTTATCAAAGTAAATTGTATTCATGATAACTCGAGATACATATTATTGCACTTCCGCTTGCGCGGAATTTTTGATCGCAATTCGTGGTATTCCCGATATATTCACTCGACTTGCTCTCGCGGCCAAAATAAGAGAAACATTTATAAACCAAGAAACACGTTTCATGGAGTTTTGCGAGGAACGCAGAACAAAGAAGAAAAACAGTAACGTAATCGATTCAAATCTCGCCGTCCATCCACGACATGTTCTCTCAGTACATTGGCTCGTGTGCGCTCTTTTATCTTCAACTTATTGATTCGTCGTCCAGAAGATTGTGCTCTTCTTTCTCTCTTCTATCATCTTCCTGCATTAATTTTCTATTATTCTCTTTGCGAGTACGGAAACGGTCGCGATATTGATTAATATCTCTGCGAAATGCGATCTTTCGACGCGCTATCACAATATGCAGCAACAATATATATTGTTATTTGTATCATATATTCACACACGCATACACAACTCTGTGCGCAACGAAAAAATTAATATTATTATTATTATTATTATAGATGTATAACGTTGTTATATTACATTTAGCCTATCTTTTAAATCGACTCAGTTTTCAATAAACGCGGAGATGATTACGCACGGACTTATTTATTTCGAAACTGATCAAATTACGTCAATTTCTACATTGTTGGACAAAACATTTAGCGAGAATTTTGAGAGCAGCTTACTTGATACGGAACTTCGCCCGGCTCAGCGTTCCTTCCTCCTACAATTCTGGGTTCCAATTGAGCTGAGTTTGTAGAATTTATTATTATTCGTAAATTTGCACCAAATTGGACAATTATATCAAAAGTCAACTCTTTTTGTTAAGTTACTCACCGTGAGAAGCACTCAACGAAAGAATTAATAACAATAGCGTTAATGTCATAGTTATTCGTTTCCCGCGACGTTGTCTATATTGTGTAATCCAATGAAATATTTACCTTTGCGATACCTCGGTTTACTTATATCGACTTTATCGCTAACATATCTAGTTTTAAAGTGCGACTTGGCAAATCTGATTGCAGTGGATAAAACAGCATTTAGCAGATTACTGCCCCACTTTGTATTATCATAATTGATAAGTATACTTTTGTGCTTTTTATACAGGATACTTGATGATAACACATAAATCTATCGTGTAGATTAGATCAATCTAAACAAATAATATCTCCACCGTTTTGCGGACAATTACGTAAAATTTTGAATTATTGTTTAAAGAAAATTAATATTCTGTGCGCAACAAAAAAATTAATATTATTATTATTATTATACTATTATTATTATTATTATAGATGTGTTGCGTTGTTATATTACATTTAGCCTATCTTTTAAATTGACTCAGTTTTCAATAAACGCGGAGATGATTACGCACGGATTTATTTATTTTGAAACTGATCACACGTGATAATACGCAAATGAATATTAATCTTCTTTCTTGAAATTTTTAGATCGTTTTAAGATAATTTATCAACAAAAAAAATTATTTATTAGGACAATATGAGCAGAATATAAGCATAGAAAAATATTTATTAGAACAATTAGAGATTAATAAGATAGTAAGTTTATTAAGAGTAATTAAATTTATTTAATAGTTTATATAATAAGATTTTTTTATTCTGGATGAATTTCGAAAGACGATGTTGTGTGACGATGATATTTACGACCGCAGGAGTTCCATTTTACATTTTACCCGAAAGAGTCATTATAAAGTGTTATTACGAACAAACATATATCGCGAAATTTAAATAGATACATATATATATATATATATATGTAATGTATATATACGTAAAATATATATACGTAAAATTTAAATCCTAGTCTACATATATATAAAATTTAAATGGATCCATTACTTAGTGATAGCGTTTTTTCTCGAAAATAGGATTTTCCTTTATATCTCCTCTCTTACCGTTTGCGTTAAAAAATCTGTTATATAATTGCACACCTTGCGCGCTATCCTCGTATTCTTCTCGTCGCACAATGCTCCGTGAGTTCTTTTTGTTTGAAGAATTTAATGTCGTTGTGTGAAGTGTGTTCCGTATCTCAGGATTACCAGCTGAACGTGACATGCAGTGCAGCAAGTTGAATGTAACACTACAGGAAACTTGTAACATGGAAGTAACGTAACAATGCACTCCGTCAAAGTTTGTTACGATTAAGAACTTCGCCAATATTGTACGATCTATCTAATGAGGAATTTTGTGAAGTGGGTTAAACAGCTTGAGGCTATTCTTGCCATATCACTTACACTTTTACGCGGATAAAGGAGGGAATATTTGAAGTGTCATCGATACTGATAATCACCGTCTGCAACTCAATTGGGATTTACCCAGATCGATGTAAATGTTAATACAAGTAACGTATTAAATACTGACCATATGCTATTTTATTTATAACAAATGTCTCTGTACAATCGCTAAACATTCGACTTAATCCTGCTCGCTCAAATTCAATAGACAGAGGAGGAAGAGGAGGAGAGGAGGAAAAATATTCAGGACATAGTCGATACTCTTATAGTTGGCACGTCATTTATCTTCAGACTAAACTGAAATAGGCTTCATAATTAACTAGGAGTTGATTGTATCTTCTGTCGAATCTGTCGATTAATGTTCCCTTCTTCTTCTTACCGAAACGAGATTATCGGTTTTGCTGACTGTGCACCAAGTTATCACTCGTGACTGTCGATCCTAGATCCTCGTTAACGTTTTAATGCTCCGGTGAAGTGCAGTGGGCCATCATGAGTTGTTTGTAGATGGAGTGCGGTCGAGAGGACGTCGAGAAACGAGCGGATCCGTCCGTTTCGCTGTTGGCCGTCATATCGCGATAGAGAGCGAGCCGTTTGAATTTGCATGAGGTCGCGTTGGTGACGAGAAAGAAAAAGAAAAGATAGGCAGATAGATAGATAGAGAGAGAGAGAGAGAGAGAGAGAGAGAGAGAGAGAGAGACAGGCGGGGGATGGGGAGCGAAAAGAGCAGCTGCTACTTTTCATTACAACCCGCCGTTTATTCCACGGCGCTCCGCATTTCGGATTAGCGATAATTGCGCTCGTAGTCGCGGCACTTTCATCGCCGATCTTTATTCGCGCGCGACGCAGCCGGGTTTTAAATTTATTAACACGGAAACCATGCTCGCGGGACACGTACTCTTCTGCCTGCAGTAGACACCGCCATATTATAAAATAACAATGTGCGCGATATTGTGCCCCTATCGATTACGTCGTATCAGAGTGCCTCTCGCACTCCCGGGAGATGTTCATGTGTGCGCGTATGCAAGTTATCGGAACATCGAGTGAACTTATTCGAATTTGCAACAAGTATTAGTTCGATATCCTGTTGAGACAGCGAAGTTCGAGCCGCGCATAAATTCCGCGATATTCTCGTTGCTCGAAGTTCGCATGTTTCTACGGCAGACAGCAGCAGCGGTGGGTGTAACGCGGATTGGACGTGGGGCACGAATTTCAAGAGCTCTCAGTGACTACGGCTCAATATCGTATCCGAAGGTCTTGAAAAATAAAGATACACGTTTTCGACGAAAGAGATAAAGAGAGAGAGAGAGAGAGAGAGAGAGAGAGAGAGAGAGAGAGAGAGAGAGAGAGAGAGAGAGAGAGAGAGCACCTACAAAGAAGTATTCTATTTGTAAAGTGATTTTTCTCATAGTCTTATATTCTAAGCGAAGCCTTTTACAGAAAAAGGATTCCTCTTTCGATAAAACGATTACAGCGATTAAACCATTAATCTAAAATTGATTAGATATTATTCTATTTTCCTCTCATTTCAAGAGGATTTCCTCTTATATCAATTAATTTTCCTCTCATATGAAGAGGAATATGTTGATTTGCATGTCGGCTTTTTCTGTTCAATCAAGCTCTACCTCCAGACATGAACGAAAAAATAACCATATGCTCATGGGTCAGAATATTTGAAATATTTTTTTAAAAAAGGTATGTGTGTGTTGCTGTAACATATAACGAAGATAATTTTAAATTTACCGATATTTGGTCAAATACAGTTTATAATCTATTGCAAGAGTTTGAATAATATATTCTTTCTTTTAACTTCCATACAATTGGTTATGACGAACATCTTTGTAGCTATAAAGTCCATAACAAAACTGACTGGAAATTTATTTGTTATGATGATTTTATTTCATTCGTGCCTACTTATTGTAGAACTGGAGCCAGAAGTACATCTACATATATATATATATATTACTTTTCGCTACACATTATAATAATTTTTTTCAAATTAACTAGTATGACCAGTAAGAATAAAGTACAGTAAGAATAAATAATAATCCTCTTAAAAAAAGATTAAATAATCTGTGTGTAAGAGAAAATTTATATTAAAATCAATAAGATTTGTACTATACATATAACATATAATCCCTCTAACTTTAAAAATAATGTATTTATAATATTTTCCTTTTAATCTAAGAGGAATCCTCTCTTGAGGCCATATATAAGAATAGAATCCTCTAAAATTTAAATGACTCCGCTTATTCTGAAATTATTTTTCTTCGGGTGTAGGGAGCGTTGGGGGGAAGAGGAGAAAAGATAACGAGTCAGTATACCGATATAATTGTCCGTACACAACGCTGGTATTCTGCATCGGTGAATTGCGATAAGTCGAAAGTACGGCCATTTATCCTTCTCTGGTTTTAGGCTTGTCACGCGCGAGCGCACGCTTCGCCGTGACATTTTTACGGCTTGACATGCGAGCTCGATTTGATTTGAGGTCTCCATGAGACGCACGTTGAAACATCATTCCGATTGACATCGCAACAACGACTATAATAATTTATGATGGAAGCGGTTTTCGGCGAGATTATTAGATCGACCGCGTTGATACGACAAGAATATTCTTGCCAAGAATATCGCGGAATATAGAGGGATATGCGCGCAGATGGATAGTATGCGCCTGCAGGAAACGAGCTTTCGATCCTCTCTCAAATCCAATATGTCCGCGTGATGGATTCTCGTTTCAACGTGGAACGACCGTGTGAGAGAGCGAAACTAATCGCGTTCCTTGGCTCGCGCGCGTTCCCGCTGCCGATCGTGCCATTATTCGATTCATCGTGTATCGATAAATCTTGACTACCACGGGAGTTCTTAATTCACGAGCTTATCGGGCCCGGCGTTTTATCGACGGAGGGCGGAGGGGCGACGCTTCGCGTAAGCGTCGGCTTTCATCGCCTCCTCGTGATTAATTAACGTTTTGAATGAACACCGCGCGCGTACAAAGTTGAGTCGCGCTCCGTTTATTTATCCCACTTCTCTCTCCCCGCTTCGGCTATTTTCTTTGTCTCGCGCATCTCGCCTCAGGAAAAGAGACCGCCTCATTCATTTCAATTTTACTCTCGTGAACTCTCGGACGAGATCGAGCGATGTTCTTAGCGTGGTCCTCTGAATGAATGCATCCGCACTTGCACACACACACACACATCGCGATTTTATTTTTACGCAGCTCTCGCCCTCATCCCTTACCGGCCTACGATATTCGATCGTTATCCGAGTAGACTCTTTTACGTATTAATATCCGTATTATTATAGTATTGTGCGTGTTAGCTGCTCCTCTCCTTAACGTGCGGCCTTCTAACGACGTAGTGCGCAACAATGCAGACACCGTTAAAGGAAAATACGGAACATCGTGGGCGCAACACGCGACCTCAAAGGATGATAACTCCCCCGGGCGCGAGAGGCGTAATCACGTCGACTCGTGTAAAGAGCGTTGGGGTGGAGTAAGCTCGCGGGGGCGGGAGGGGGGGTGCGACAGATCAATCGTCTAATATGAGCCGCGAGTATAACGCGTGTCCAATTATAACGACATAAGCGGGACGCAGGCGAAATAATTCATTCGAGTCGAGGGTACCGTGGGAGATGTTATTCACGCTCGAGTTAATCGATCTGCGCTCGTCGCCTAAGTATGTTATTATAACTGCGATGCTCAGGGCGCTCGCGTGGCGTTGGAACTCGAGAGATTCAATATCGCAGCGTGTCGTGCAACTCTTGGCCTCGTGCGCGAGGCGCGGGCCGCTATATTTCACGGACAAGTGACGGAAAGACGGAAACGAACTGCCGGATATTCGCCATAGGATCGTTTCCACTACTTCGCCTTGAAATGCAATGCAATCCAATCCGGAGATTGAGTATCGTTAAAACCACCGTTC